ATATATGAGAATGCATGATGTTGGCAAATGGACCGCAACGTCTTCTGTCAGAAATGAAAATTGGTTATGGATGGAAGTGGAACATGTTATATTCTTCGAACGAATTTGATTTTCAAAGACGCATCTACGAAATATATATATGTATGAGATACATAACCTGACAGAACATTAATGACTGAATTCTCACCTTACTTACGACTGAAACAAATACAAGGACTAAGTACAGCGCTACACCAACACACGCATTGCCGGTTTAGAACTAAGGCTATGCAGTCAGTGGCAGTGCAGTGGAGTTTCGGCTGTGCTCGGGTCTAACGCGAAAGATATTCTTGTCGCTACACAGGAGTCCATTCTTGAATCTTTTCCTTTGCCATGTATTAATGGTCTTGATCAAGTTAGGAGAATTCAAGATCTTTTTTATTTCAAATTTAACTTCTCTGTCGAAATTTGAAGGGAATTTCAGTATTTTCCTAAAATATAATAACGTGTGAATTTAAAATTTATTCATAAATAATTTTTTTCCTCCAGTCCCGCCTTGCAATAAATGTCGATCCCGTGTCGATCCCGTGTCGATATGAATGTAATTTTAGTATATTTTCTGGAAACTAAAAATCACTAAACACTATTTTGTAAGGTACTTAATTGATACTAATCGATACCACAGTTACTAGAAAACATTATAGCCCAAATAGTGTCTTAACGTGATGGGTTTTGTGCATTCTCAGTCGAATAATTTTCCTTAAGCGTATTCACTAGGTCAAATACACAAACACACTGGTAGCTCACAAACTCTCAGAGAAATTCCATAATTCATTAGAAAAATTATTAATCACTCACCTTGAATTTTTGCTAAAATTTTAATTGCTTCAATCGGAGTTCGAGAGATGAAGTTCAGTTGAGTTTAAAAATTTAAATTAATTTTCAATCATTTTTTGAGTAAATTTCCTCATTATTTTTTTGGCTCAGATTTGGCTCGAGCTCCAAAAGTTGTGTAGTGGCTCCATTGATAATTAAACATCCTAATAAAACACGCTAATAAAACCTGGAACTGCGAGCTGATAGAATCTAAAATCTGAGACAAACGCTAATAGAATTTGCTCTAACGTACGAAACTTGACCGGATTGTTGAGATCATGAAGGCATTATAATCTATTCAAAAATTTAACTACGGTGTTTATATAGACTAATGATAGAAAAGTGGAAGCATAAAAGTCTAGCAAAAACCTCGGCAGAGACATAATTATGTACCGCAGTCATTAGTAGACGTCCTCAATCTGACACCTCATCCTTGATTAAAGATCCGTTTTTTGACAAGAAATTCTGAAAGATTTTGACCACAAAAAACGGCTGCAGAGTCAAGCAGATCTGATTAGCGACATCCGATGTGCTGCTCGTTAAGAACGGTGACGCTCAGAACCCTGAATTAAATTCGTTCATGGACGAAATATTGTTTGTAATTAATTAGCTAATATTAATTGATTCATATTAGTGTTTGGAAGCAATGTATTTTGTAAGTGTTATGCATTATTTGAAGAATGCCTACAGTTAGTTACACAAGTTAAACCAAAAGTTACCTTAAAAGCATAAATTTTAGAGTAATGTTCTTCTCAGGAGAATGTAATTGTTAAGATTGGAGGAGTCATAAATTATTTCCATTAATTATCATCAAAAACTAGAATTAAACCACGGCTGGGATCGAGCAGTAGGCCGGACGTAATTCTGAATACATGAGACGCTCCGGAAACCAGAATTTCCGGGTAATTTAATATAAGAAAACGGGCAGAAAAACTCGGTTTTACTTCATCCTCTGCAAATGATCTCGTATTAAGAAATGAAGGAAGTGCGTTAAAAAGCTCTCGAGGTGACACTGACGAAGCAGGCGCCGTTCATTTGCAGGTGCGGAAATTAACACTTCAGTCTTTAATGAATTTTGATGCGCTCCAGAAATGATTTTAAATATAAAGAACAGCCCAGACCGGCGGGTTTTTCTACTAATTATCTATGAATTATAACAGAAGAAGCTTCTAGCCTGTAGATGTCTGCGAGAGAAATGTGTTTAAACGTTCGAACGGGCTAACAATTTTCGGCACAATCTAACTATGCAAATATTGTGTATAAAATATATGAGGTATTTCACTCGATCAATTTACCAACAGATGGCATCTACATTTTATCGCTTCATATGAAATGGCAATCAAGTTGAATTGATCATAATATAGATAAAAATTTTCTTCAAAATTTATCGGTTTATTAAAAAATGCAGTGAAAATTTTCGGACACCTCATTCAAGTTGTAATACATTTCATTGTCAAATTTTGTATGAAGTAATAGCATGTAAAACAAATGAAATAGATGTTTTATCTAAACTGTCTTTTTAACGCACATTATCAGCTTAATTCTGTTTTCGATTAAGATTCACCTACTCGCAACTGGACATAGGCAGGTCTTGAATTTATTGAACGTTAAACGATCGATAAATGAAATGAAAACGCACTTGCTGTTTTATCGTGTGAAATATTTGACATTTGCAACGCGTAATTGCAGATAAAAGTGTCCTCATGGTATTTATGGTGATTATGAACAATTTGAATGCATTGTAGTGATCAGAAATATTCAATACTGCAGATCAATTGAAGTCGGAGATGTCCAATAGGTTGAAGTGAATACAACAGTCTACAGGGCATGTTTTATACCATCGACTTTAATCGACAGAGAGAAAGTTTTGTTTCTTTTGCTAAAAATGTGATAGATCGGCAAGATGGAATAAATGTCAATTTCGCAGGTGAAAGATCGTTTTACATTTATTTATGCGTGCGAGTAATTTTTTACATTTGTAGGTCTGACTTGCTTCCTGATGAAGATAATTTGAAAGATAAACCAATGAACGTCTCATTAATTAATTAATAAATACTAAGTGTTTAAAAATTACTTTTGGAGACAATGGCTAAAAAGGCCATTGTCTCCGATGTTACACATGTACAATGAATTTTTTATTTTATATTTCGATATTTTTATTATAAATTAATAAAATATTAAAAATTACTTTACTTTTTTTATTATTAATCTTTTTAATTTCAAAAATTATTTATTATTCCTATTGATTCATGCATTGTTTCCGACTTTACGCAAGTGCGCAAAATTTCAGATCGATTGGGCAGATAGAAATGTGTTGAATATCGATTATAAGACTAGTAGCAGACAAACAAACAACAAGAAGTGAAGTTAAAGAGAAGTGTTGTAAATAGCCTTTATTCCCTGCCGAAAGAAGCTTTGGAGAAGCGAATTTCTACGGCCCCAATGAATTTCCCTTTTTATTATTAATATAGCGTTCGTTTGTACTCCAAGGCAGCCATGCTTAGCAGACGTCACTCCGAGACGAAGCAATAAGTTAATCGCTTAAGGCGTGTCGCTTCGGAAACTAATCGAGTTGTGCGCTTCCCGCACCACTTAAGATCACATCGCGTATTTTTAGCGCCTGGATTAAACTTTTTCCGCACCACTTACTTGGACAAAAGACGGATCTCTGGGGCAGATGCAGCTTTGTGCAATCAGGCTGAGCCTTTAGGCTGTCCCTTATCGCTGCGCAATTCAATCAATTCTGGCAGATATGAAAGACGTCCAATCCTGCACCAGACGCTGCACCAAAATGGCAACAATTTCGTCGATCGATATCGACTTATGAATATGCGGGCACCCTTATTGACTTTTCGTATCTCGATCAGTGCCCAGTGTGAACACGCATGTTGCAAAGGTCACCCATGAATCTTTAAGTCGACTTAATGTGTTTAGCATTTAAGAAGATCTGTGTCCTGATTAGCATGATTGAAGTGGTTAGCGTCTTCTATTGAAAGCCTCTGCGTACGAGTGCTCCAGTTCTAAATATTTTGACAACTGCAAATCACGAAAGCCGGATTGATGGGCACGACTTCTGATCCGGCGTGAAGGAACTGCGTCGCTTGTGAGAACGACGCAGTCTCCTTCTACGAGACTGACATTTAAAGTTTATTGAAGTCACTGAAAGTATTCGCATATTTATTTATTAAATTATCGCGTAAATGGGTGAGATACCTTTTTTTGCATTTGTTATAGAGGCTAAATAAATTCAATATCAAATATCAATCTGAGAAAAATATGTAAATAACCTGAGATATAATATGTAAAATAATCTGAAAAAAATATGTAATAAGAAAAATATGTAAATAAATTAAATAATCATAATTTTCAGAGGTGTTGCATCAAGAATAAGAAATTGTTACCCAATTTTATGTTTAAGTGTTGGACCGGATGCTTGTGTGGATTCTTTTGTATTATGCTTTGAATTAATTTCGATTCGGACTAATTGAAACGTGCTGCTGTTTGCCTTTTTATAGTGCACGACTTGTGCAATGTGTTTAGCTGAAATTAATGGAAGATTAAAAACTTTTTGTGAGGCTCTGATTTCATGAATTGCGATGCAATGTGAGGAAGAAATTTAAATTTAATCTACTGAATTAATCGTGAATATCAAGGCAAATTACAAAAAATGTACTAGGCACCCACGGTGCGAGGTTGCCGGTTGCAGTCGTTAGGAACCTCTCACCCCTGAAATTGACATTTGACCTTGCCAGGAAATAGCAAGATTTTGAAACAGATTCTCCCGTAGCGCATGAAAGAATAGAGACCGAAGATCACGAAGAGGTCAGCGACTGGGCGACCTGTGCGTCATTTATTGTCTTGATTTGACGCAATTGTGAAATATTATGATGGAGCAGGGATTGTGTAAAGGGCGCCGCAGTCTTTATTTTTAATGGTTGTTATGGGATAATGCATATCATCCTGCCAAAACTATTAATGGTTTTAATATGACTTTTTGTTTTGATATATATGCATACTTTCCTGTTAGCGATCTAGTGGCCCGAACGATTTACCATGAGCTCGTTTAGTAGAAGTAGAGGTAATCATTTGGTGATTCGTAGAAACTATTTTATTTAAATGTCTTGTGATGGTAATACGAGAAAAAATGTACTGAATATATTTATTAGAAGAAAATATGCACCTGAAATGTTAATACAAACTTATGATTAACCTGCTGGTTTTATACATATATTAATACGATTAATATACATGAATACACAATAGGTATTTGTTTTAAATCACTGTTGTATTATTCCTTGAAAAAGTAATCAATTCAAAGCTGAATAAACATGTCAATTTAGAAACGTATGACGTAATAACGTAATATTTATCATTAAGTAGCTACATATTAAATGCTACCTAATACACGAAAATGCTACCTAATACACGGAAGTATTACAAAGTGACCCCAAAACTGACAGGAACACAATACTACATAAATCTTCGAAACTGGATTCCGTTCCTATAATAAATTTAAAATTTTAACAACAAAAACTAGTCACACCAGTAACGAAAAATTGACTAAAGAAAATGCGCGAGATTTTCAGTAATTTATTTAAACCATATCACTCCAATATCGCACTTCATAATGTATAATTTCTACGTTGTTAATATTTTATCATTTGAACGACAGTGCATTCTGCAATGCATAAAAAATATATCGCACAACTTTACGAACTCTAATGTCTTTGGTTGTCTTTTTTTGGTTAGTGCAACGCTTTGCAATATTTACAGGAAACAATTGGCAAAACCTCGATAACTCATCTATAAAAAATACAAATTTTTCAACAGATAATAAATGCAAAAATTTTTAAGCTGTTTGAACGAACTTTCTGTCACTATTCAAGCGATTCTAAAATTTGTGTTGTTTATGTCGAAAGTCGATATTTAGGGCCAAAAATGAATTTCTTGCAACGTGTAATCGAAAAATAAATTTCTAATTCGCATTTTGGACTTTGTGAATACGAGTACACGTGTGGTCATATCAAATATCATACACGAGGATTTATTGCATAAGAAGAGATTTAGAGAACTCAATTGACTATGCAATATTAATGGGACTTGAATGAAAAGTATTCATAACTTTTCTTGCTTATTTACATTGTTCATATTTACAACTCTTTTTCATGATGAAGATGTATGCTGCTACCTTCTCTGGCACCAGCTTCACTAGCACCGACATCAGAGTCACAACTAAAGCAGTTATCGGCGTCAGTGGCCGGACACTGAGCGCAGTTTGTGTTGTCCGCGTTTCGGTTCATTTGGCAATCGAAGAGCGCGCGCAGCTTGAGCGCAGGTCCTAACTTGAGGTGCAGGCTCGTCGTGAGGTGAGACTCTGTGAGTAGCGATAGTCCGCAGCCGTCTATACGTTGCTCCCGAAATATCTGACGATCAACAGACAAAAATAAATGAGTGTGAGTCAGATCATCAAGTGTATATAAACATTAGTTATAAGCAACCAAATGAGGCGAAAAATTACTTTCCTGTGAGAGTTATAAAAATTGGACAGATTTCTTTAGGGCATCCACGAAAGGAAGCATATAATAGATAAAGTTGAATCGAAAATCAACGAAAAATTTCATTGATAATTTTTTTGCGTAAAACAATAGAGACTCATTGGACCGAGAAGCAGCAGCACTTTTCACTTTTCAGCATTCACTAATTTAGTTACAAAACTAATTTTAATTAAGGACTTACATCAGCATACTCGGCGCAGATGTCAATACTCTTCACGAAGTTATAGACGTCGGTAACGGTCCACTTCAGGGGATCCTCTGGCAACGATAAGGCGTTCATCAGTTGCGAAGACTTCAAAGAGCAGTCCCCAACCGACACACTTTCCGACTCATTTTCATTCGAGACAGGGGCAGAGTAGGGTTCGTTATGCGAGTATATTTCTGATTTATCATCATTTTCAACGTCGATGTCTTCAGATTCAAGTCGTGCGCGCTTGGGCTGCGAGTGCGGAGGTGATAGATCGAGAGGAGACGACTCCATGCAGCGCTTCTGACCGCCTGAGGCTGCAGGCAAGTTTGGAAACGAAGAGGCAATACTTTCGGGAGTGAAGTGAATGGGGTTCAAAACACTAGCATGCGTTTCTGATGCTAGCGATGTATTAGTAGTGTTTTGCGAAAAACTGCGATGATGTTGAAGACTAGAAACATTTCTGACCATATTGATCAACATCTGAGCAGATGACATGCAGTCGGCGGTGGTTACAGGCAAGCTCATAGGTGACTGAAGAGACCTGGCAGTCGAAGTAGCGCAGGATGAAACTTTAACGTTGCCTTTTGGAAGAACCGAAGAGCGCGATGAATTCAATGGAATGAAGCTTTCCGCCGGCAAAAGAGAAGGTAGAAGACTTTGTTTACGATGCTGAAGTAAACTGGGTCTGGCAGATATCTCAGGATATACAGAAGGAAATGAGGGTGCACCTCCGAATGATCTGAAAAAGATAAAAACAAAGAATTGTTTGATACGATGAAACATTAATTCTTTACAATGCTAAAAATTCAAAATTTCACTGGACTAACCAAGTCATTTGTATAATTACTCACCCAATTTTATTGAAGTTGTACTTGGCGGCCATATTTCTCATTATTTCAGAGCAGTTTGAAGGTATCGTCAGATCCGCAGGTGTTTCTCTCACGAGTCTTGGGCCATCCAAGAGAGAGGATACCTTACGCTGCTCCTCGGTTGAATGTCCAAGAGGGAAAAGTGGTCTCGTTAGTCCAAGCAACCCAGCATTAAAATCCTGCAGTGCGGAAGATGAACTAGGGCATTGTGTACCTAAATTTGAGCGCAAAGAAAAAGCTGAACCATTTGACAGAGGCGGTGAAACGGAAAATGGCAGCATTTCGGGAAACTCGAAGGACGAGTTTGATCTTGATGACAGAGGCGAAACAGATTGTTTTCGACAATTGAGTTCAACTTCGAGAGGAGAGTTATAAGATTGAAATAGATGTGACTGCTGACTAGGTGAAAGCCTGGGATTGAATGAGGATTTTGAGCTGGATGAAGATAGATGTTGATTAGGAAGGGACATTGCAGTTGAAAAGCAAAGAAGATTGCCTGATTTGTTTGGCATTTCCCTCCCATGTGTCAATGCCGTTTGAGGATTCAGAAGACACTGCCGGATAGCCTCCGCGTGTTGTGAAGGCAACGCATAAGGATTCAGAAAATGTTCCGATCGTAAGTCGTTTACAGAACGTTGATGCTTTTGCAAACGATCGTCAAAACTGTTCGTATGATCCGAGTTTGGCAGGGCGGGCTGAAAAGATCTAGAAGAAGAAGACGGATTCGGAGGTGACGCTGAGGGAGGGCTACCAGATGAAGCAGCGCTCGCCGAATTATCTGCAAAAAATAATGCAACAATATGAGAAAAATAGAATAGAATATAAAATAAAAATATAACAAGTTCTAGAAAAATACCCTGTCCGGTTGCAACCCAATCCCGTGTTGAAATTCGATTCCCTAATATACGCGTATGTGCTACAAGCACCGACGAACCTAACAGAACTAATTCAGATCAAATACATGACATTTGACTTCAACGCTAATTTTGCAGCCCCATAATGCAGGATCAACAGTAAGCAGAAGGAGAAGCAGGCATTTCCTTCAGCACGCGAATGATTTATTTTCACGGAGACTCAGAAGCTCGGCTGACGCTCCATTTCCTGACCTCCACGCCCCAAGTTTCGTCGCGGTTCGATGGCGACCTACAGACACCTTTGCCCTCAGTCACCTCTGTTGCTAGTGAAATTCAGCTAAATATCTGCATATATGCCTGTGCCTGTGTAAATAATGGTAGCGGTTAAAAGAAAAGCCGACCATAGTAGAGACAACAAATGAATGTTTATGACATGATCGATCATTTTTCTCAACGAAATTGTCGATTTTTGGCGTTGATAAATATCTTCTAATAATAAGCGTTAGCAATGTCCAACTTGAAGAGGTTTAATCATTATAAATCATTACCTAAACTCTAATTATTGTATTGAATTTTTTTTATTATCAATAAAGACACCAAACATTTAACACTCATCAAAGAGCGCAGGAAAACAAAGACGCCCAATATCCTGCCGTTGGAGAGCAATTTCCTAAGCTAGGTTACAACCCTGACCTCTGCTCCCAAGCAACAATTCAAAACGGATGCGTGAAAATGAGTTTCAAAGGAATAAGGGCCCTCACGAGGTCACGACGTATCGCCCCTCGTGACCTCAAGAGCGTGACACGCGTGACTGATACGTGATCCTTTGACCTCTCACCTCTGATCTCGGAGGAACTATTTACGTCGTTTTTGTGCGCTATTTAGTATACCCTTAACGGGGTATCTCGGTACGTATTGTTCCAACCGGTGATTTATAACACATTTTTACTGAGGCATTCGTCGGCTCAAGAGTCGAGAATAACTGCTTACAATAATAATTTTTTAAATGTAAGCTTATGATTTTTTCTGAAAATTTTCGGCAAAATTTGTAAATTGAATCAATGCTCACTGAATTCATAGTGAAAGTTTTTTCCATAAACCAAATTAACTATAAAAATTGATTGCAGATATTTTATGTAAACATTATTGTAAATTTGAGACCAGATTTAGGCTGGTAGGTAATATAACAATGTAGCCACGACACTAGCTAGCAGTTCTCTTCGATGTTTCACTAGTACACTACACATCGATGCTATACAAAGTTTTTAAAATCGCTCTAGAATAACCTAATTATTTTTGTAGAAGAACGTACAAAGAAGGCAAAGGAATAAAAAATTGGTAAACTTTAAAAATAATAATTGATATTTCTAAGACTAGTTAACTGATTAAAGACTTTATTTCTTGTTCGTTACGCATTGCAACCAGAATAACTAGTCTGGACCGCACACTTTAGATCTGTTAGGCTCCAAAAATAGCAATCTTAACCCTGCCGTCTTGATCAGATAAGCTGGGGTGGAAAGGTCGCTTAAAGCGACGGCAGAATTTCCAAACGACTCCATTGTGAACGTTTTAGAATTACGATGGAGTACGCGGGAGCAAAGGTGAACATGGGGACGGTACCAATGTCCCCCATAGCCCCACGCTTCACCAGCTAAAGAATCAACTTGATTGGCCAGGCTTTTGTGACGAACCTAGACGTTCATAACATGTTTAAACCAATTAATCAGTCTTGCAATTATTTCGGAGCAATGGCTTGTGGAGTCTATAATTATTCTTTCTTAAATTATCCTGTGTACATTAAATTTAAAATTTACTGTAATCATAAAAATTAGAACACGCACCTGTTCCACTCCCGTCGCGGCTTCCCAGCCAACTTGGCGGACTCGCCTTCGCCAGCGCCAGATTCGTCATCTCCGCGACGATCTCAATCTTAGACCACGACGCGGTTAAAAATGATGACGTTGCCTAACAAAATCTTCGGTTGTTAGCGACGATGTATATAGAAGTTAATAATTCGGGAGCGATGCTGATCTGCCTTCTTTTATTAGGCTGTCGGGGATGATCGAACGATCTAAAACGAGGAAAAAAGGGCGAAGAAATGTAATTTGTGCAAGCGAAGCCAAACAAATTACATTAGGCGTAGCTGGTGTAGGCTGCAGAAGAAAGTCTTGATAAATGATATCTTCAGAGTTTATCAGGGAGGTCGCTCAAACCTCAACGGCAAGCTACTGCTTGATGGATGAATCCTATAAACTTTAATGATTGGACACAAACAATAGCAGCTTTCAGATAATTAATAACCGATGTATCACACGAAAAATTGCTACAAAAGCGTATAATTTTTCAGTAGGAAAAAGCAGACAGTTTCCACAACATTTTCACGAATCTCACGCAGTTTGAAATTTCATTCAGAAGGCACAAGACGCATTAATATGGCAAAATAATTAGGAACATTTTACCCACACAATGGGTACAGACATAAAATGTTTTAAAACGTCCAATAATATTTATCTAAAGCTTCTTCTAGTGATGACAGTTTTACAAGCCTCGAGAGCGCAGCAACAGCTGCATCTATGGGCACAAGTCAAGAGTGTGTCACGGCCAGCACCAGCATACCACACCGTACGGCGTCTCGCGACTGACTGATGTGGCTGACTAGCTGACTAGTGCGCTCAAGCGGTCAAGCGTCAAGCCATCAAGGCAAACCATGTCCACTCAAGTTTATCCATTGAATTTAATTGTAAATAATTTGCCTGGTAAAAAGAAGTGGCTTTACCGATCATGTACGCTCATAAAGTTTATACACATTGAAAATATCAAAAATAAATGTGAACAACATTTGAAACACTCGTGAACAACATTGTAAATACATGAGATTTTCAGGCAAATTACATTTGAATTACGCGTGTGTTTATGCGAATTTTATATAAATTGAAAATAAATCACTTACGAATTCACTGTGGATCGCATATTATTTTAAATTGACTCTAACGGTACTGAAGTGGGAGAATTTGATGGAACGAATTGTAGAAATAGAGACACGCTTGCTGCCTGTAGCACTGATACGTTATTTTTCTCGGCTAAACTATGTCAAGATGACCCACATTAAATCAAAAGTGCATCGATGTTTGGACAATTGAACGAATTGCACGCGAATAGCAGCCGAATTACACGCTAGCCGCAAGTGCACCACACATATGGAAAACGTCAACTCCATCATTAATGCATCCGAATTTCGGTTAAATTACATGTTTATCAAATAACAATTGCATGTCTATTATATTGCATACAAATTACCTATTATGATTACGTACTTGACATTACAGATAAGGTACATACATATGTAGTGTTTGCTGATGACATGCTAATCACATTAGCAGTGTGCGTTAATTGCAACAAAGTTTTACTCGACAATATCGGCTGCATTATTGACAATAGAAGCAACGCGATGATCGCATTCAATGGCTGTTGAATGTGTATGAATTAGTTCCGGTGAATCAATGGATAAGCCAAGTGAATAGAATCGACATCTTGTGAACATGATAATGGACAGTTGAACGTGTGAATGTCAGGTGAACGCTTGAATGCCAGGTGAACGCGTGAATACTAGGCGAACGCGTGAATGCCAGGAGAACGCGTGGATGCCAGGAGAACGCGTGAATGCCAGGTGAACGCGTGAATGGCAGGTGAACGCTTGAATGCCAGGTGAACGCGTGAATGGCAGGTGAACGCTTGAATGCCAGGTGAACGCGTGAATGCCAGGTGAACGCTTGAATGCCAGGTGAACGCGTGAATGGCAGGTGAACGCTTGAATGCCAGGTGAACGCGTGAATGGCAGGTGAACGCGTGAATGCCAGTTGAACGCGTGAATGCCAGGTGAACGCGTGAATGGCAGGTGAACGCGTGAAAGCCAGGTGAACGCGTGAATGCCAGGTAAACGCGTGAATGCCAGGTGAACGCGTGAATGCCAGGTGAACGCGTGAATGCCAGGTGAACGTGTGAATGCCAGGTGAACGCTTGAATGCCAGGTGAACGCGTGAATGCCAGGTGAACGCGTGAATGCCAGGTTAACGCGTGAATGCCTGGTGAACGCCTGAATGCCAGATAAACGCGTGAATGCAAGGTGAACGCGTGAATGCCAGGTGAACGCCTGAATGCCAGGTGAATGCGTGAATGCATAGAGAACTTGATAGAAGCCTGGTGTATTGATGTATACTAGGAAATTTAGTGACTGTGGCGTGAACCACACACGTTCACAATTTACCCGGATATATTCGTTAATATTCGTTCATTTTTTGGGTCAAAAAAAGTGATCAAACAAATTGTAATTTAAATTATTTAGGCAATGTTTTGTTCTTCGTTCACTTCAGGCAAATTTTCTTGAGAATGTTTAGGTTAAATCATGTTTTGAGTCAATTTACACAGCTTCATTTCTGAGGTACGAGCAATAATAACCACTCGCGACAACCGGTAAAATTAAAATAAAATTTTCTAGGAAAAGAATGCAGCAAAAATCAACACAATTTGAAAAGGTCAACCGTGGATCGGCTTGATATCGGTACAATCTTGGCGCGCGTTGAATTCTAGGCATAACTGATCAAGACACACAAGCTTCTGTGTATTAAACACGGAGATGTTGAGAGCAAACAAGTGCAATGCATGCGTCGTTCTGAGAATTCGTACCTGCGATCACGTCAAAGGAATGTGGCGGAATGACATAAAATTAACCTTGACATGGTCGTTCGCGCAGGGAATTTTGCACAAGACGAAATGCTTGCGGTCCTATCGCTCACTTATCAATATTTGCTTGAGCTAATCACAAATGTTCACTGGAAAATTCAAAATTCATCAAAAAATTTGTTGGCTAGACGGACGCGTGTTTTCAGTCATGTACGCTGGGTCTACAGGTTTAGAGGTTGGTTATATGTACACATATATTTGATATAAATAAATCAATGCATTAGTTGGGGAAAAAGACGGAAATTTGGGTTAATGTGAAGGCTACAGCATGCAATGGTACTCTCAAAAATTATTTGAAGATATGAATGACTTAAGTGTATAGTACTTTGAGAGTTACGAAAATGACTGTTATAGGATGTCTGTTGAACGTTATAATAATAATAATGATAATAATAATAATAATAATAATAATAATAATAATAATAATAATAATAATAATAAAATAAATAATAATAATGATAATACAAACAATGATAATAATAAAAAGAGTGTTTCAGCGTTTATTAGACCATAGGCCTGTTGCCGATTCATCGCAGAACATTCGCAGCTTGTTGCGGTCTGCTGCGTTTTACCGCCTGGCCTCCTCGCCGATTCTGACCAGAAACTGGCGCACAGAGCTGGGATCGAACCCGCGCCCCTCTGCTCCAGTCTTAGTACTCTGTGAACTGTAACTACTGGGCCTGCCCTAATTGAATGACTTTGAATGAATGATATAAATAAAATTACTGCTGTAAATTAAAGCACTGTGAGAAAGTAGCGATGACACACTATAAAGAACATATTCCCCATATAGTTCAATATAGTCTCTACAACTACACTACTTGGAGAAGCAGAAAAGCGTTTCAGGAAATGCCGACAGCTTCCATGATGAATAAATAACATAATTAATACACGACAGAAAATAAATTGAGACACAAACAATATCTACCATCAGATTATGTAGCTTGGCACGATTATTTTTTATGTCAATTCTTGAACAAGTACTCTAAGTGAACAATGATGAAGAAATTAACTTGAATTTAAAGAATAGAGGCAAAAAGTTTGCATTTCGATAATTGCTTGTATCTTATGAAGAAACCGAGATTAAACTTAGGAAACTTTTTCCTAGTCTTACATCGAACGAATATTATAAGTGATGGAGACCATTTTGACTATAAAAAAAGAACAAGGAAAGTTACAAATATAAAGAGAATTAAATTACGACAATTCCCTCTCTCACCGTAAATAATAAGGAAAATTACAGATGATGTAAGTATTGCTCTAATTTCAGGCTAATATACAGAACTAACTTCAAATTTGGAGTTCATGTTTGTCAATAACGACCAGTTCTGATATGAAGAGACTGTGTATAAATAGCTTCGTATATAATTAGATCATGATCGGTTTATATATGCAAGACTTCCGCGTGGAAAGCGTTCTAAAATTTGGCGCTTAGCGTGCTAGTCAAACAAGTGGTGGACAAAAAATTCTGGCAACGCTCTCAATAGCCTTTAAGTAAACACAAATTTCACTAGGATTTCAGTGAATAAATACTTTCGTTTTTAATTTAGAAAATATCAGGATATGGTTCGACAATTTTATGCGTGAAAACCTGCTATTAAAATTTGCCAAAAAAGTGTCGAAACGTTCATATATGTAGAGATGCGCTTCTGCAGATCCCAATTTATTTTGAAAAATATTGAGTCCTAGGCAAAACATAAATTCAACTGTGAAAGAGTATCCCCAGAAACGAGAAAACGACGTTTTTTGTTTGCCTTTTTCGTGGACTCTAAAATTTAACAGAAACTCTTCTAGATTTGTTTCCGATCAATTTTATCAGATATTGTTTTCAAGTTTAAAATGGCTATTTCCAAGTATTGATGAATGGTGAAATGAGACTAATAGAAAATAAATTTTCGGGGTTACATGTATATTTCATTCAGATAACATGAAGTACCTACTCGTAAACTCTCCCTGATGACGAGAAAACACAATTGAAATTTCTCCGTCCTTCATAACATTTTAAAATATGTAACGGTCAACAATCAGCAACTAATAATTTACCGATAATTCACGTATAAGTTTCAAAACAGCATACCAGTTTCGTGTAAGAGTTTAAAAATTCAATTTATACTGTAATCTTGAAGAAATGAGTTTAAACGTCGAAGCCGTGGCGTATGCCGCTGAAGAAACAGAATCTAGTCGGCATCCACCGTCGTTGTAGGCTCCCAAGATAGAGAAAATGAAGCATTGTTGAAGGCATTATTGCGTGCTTACCAAATTGAAATAAATTTCTAAATAGTTTCAGCAACTTGATCCGTAATATTCGCATCAATCCGAGCACCGTCGGTTACTTTTTTCAACAAGTGATTGTTGAGGGTTCTCTGCGCCCTATTGGAAATATTGGCCGGAAACGCAATGGCGCAGTGAATTGCGTACGGTTTGGTGAGTGGCGACCAATGAATCTTTTCATGTATGGAATAAAATAATACAAACGTGACAGTTAAAGGTTAGACAAAAATAGTGAAATTTTATATCGTAAACTGACAATCCTTGAATTTAGGCTTGGGGGTACGTGGGGAAAATTTATAGGTTTGAATCATTTTTCTTGAAATTCATCTAAGTGACTGGACATTATTGTGCTTGGATGGTAGAGAAATGTTTTCGTTAGTGCAATCTCTTGACTCATTGTGGGAACTGACAATTTTTCGTATATTATATTAGTTACATATTGATCCGTACTAAGCTGGCTCAATAGAGTGTATGTTTAGCAACAGCGTGGTGGTTTTTTAATGAAAGTTTGTTGATAACTTTAAAAATGTATGGAAATCATTGCAAGAGTTCTGACGGCCGGGTATTGTCGTACACATGCATGCGCTACAGTCAACATAGCAACAGCCATGCCATTTTATAGCCAAATTAAAATACGTATTTATTATTCGTAAGTCAGTCGAGAACAAATGGGCCTAAATATCGAGCTTGTCATTGCACAAATTAGTGATGTTCCATAGTTAGCAACTTGCAGCTTCAGCCATCTTCACCACCTTACGTCACGCTTTCGTCATCAGCCTAAATCGCGTAAGGCTACCAATGCAGTATTCATGATGGATACTGCTATGATGATATGATCATGATGGATAGAAATTTAGATTTGTGATGAACATCCATTATAACTATTCAGCCTAGGAAAATTGCTGTAGCTAAAATGTACACCAATCTTCTCCCGGATTTCTTGCTACTCAATTTGTTTCATTAGAGATGTGAAGCTAATCGCTCCGGAATTTGACGGGATATCGCAAGTAAACCGGATTAGGAAAGTTCAACGTTTTATTGTCAAGGTTACTTTCTGGAGTTAGTATAGGATGCTCTCGAAGGGATAGTTGTTGGTCAGTGCGTTTTGATACACGGCGAAGATAACATTACTATAGAGATTGGCCAGAGGTTCGGCTAGAAAGTTAAATTGATAATTGAATTTTCTTTTAGTATTACAGTACCGTGCTTCTTCGATACTATACAATATACTTGAAGCTTTCATGTCGTATACTGCATTGTGTTTGAATTCTTTTCCAATGTCAACTCAAATATGAAAAGTAATTTGAGTTTTGCCTGTGTCAAATCTGAGCATAAATATATATTTGAATATATATTATATTTAATTGAGTTCATTTTCTTATTCTGTAATATAATTTAATTAAAGAGCTCGAATTGATGGTGCTAGCAGCCTGTTTGATGCCCCACGCCCCATAAGCGATTTGCTGGGCTGCTATTGGTCGCTGTCGCGAATCAATACAACAAATCTCGTCCAAATATTTAAAGCATGCAATTAATCCACTAAAATATAGCACTTTATAATCGCTCCAAAAGATTAATATTATACAATAGTAATATTATTATACAATAGATTAATATTATACATAGACACCTAATAAATTAATATTATTTAATTGTAACCTCGACATTTATAAGTAACCTAAGGTCAACTTGATTCTGTGATTTTAATTGTGATTTTTTTTGCACCTCAGATCTCTAAGTAAAGATATAAAAACAATGGAAAAGTTAATTATCTCTATTCTCGCCGTGCAACTATGCACAACTTCATTTTTATCTTTAGCTCGTCCAATCCGGACTGTTCCTCACAACTCTCCGTCGTTATCGTCTACGAATGTTGCGATGAACCTACCATCTGTTGAGTCCGATGATGTCAAGGTTTCATTCGACGCTCTTGAAGCGACCGGCACAAGTAAAGATACTATTCGATATGAGCCTTCATGGGATGGTAGTGATGCCGCATCTAAAGCAGTTGCCGACATTGAATCCGCTCTCAGCGAGGCAGGTGATTCTAGCTCTCTGCTGGAAGAAGGAACTAGTGCTGGTGGTGGTGGCGGGTCACTTCTTCCTGAACACTCGTACCCGAGTTTGGTGCGCGAAGAAAGGATCGTCGAGGTAGAAGAACCTCACGGTCTTCTTTCTACGCTTGCCTATTACCAAGACAATGTTGAACCTGACGTCTATGATTCAGTTTCTGATGCGGAGACCAAGTTGCCTTCAACACGAGGGTCTTTCCGCCAATGGAATTATTTCACAGACTTATTAATCCGGACAATGCTGGAAAGCGAAGACAACGTCAAGGAGTCGATCAAGTGCATACTAAGGCTGCCATGTAATCTGCCCCGAACTTTCCGGACGCTATTGGAAGGTAAAACTTTTAGTTTAATTTTATATTGCTTGCTGGTACGTGGTCAATCATGTTTCGTATATATGTGACTTATTGAAATTTGCATTTTTTTTAAGTTTCCATTAGTTTTTAAGAGGTTCCGGCACGTCCATTGAGTGAAATATTGACTAATTATTTTTTATGCTCCTTCAAGTCCTCTGCGAAGGTATCAAACGCTCATGGCTATGGAGTGAATTACTTCAGTTCGAATCTGTTGTAAAACTTGTATTACTTGTACAATGTACAGGGCCTTACCAAGTAACGATATAATAAAATTAAGAAAATAGAAAAACTTTGCTGCTTTATAAACACATTAAAATGTCCACTACTTTAACTACGCCTCTTCGTTTATCATCTGAAACGACAGCTTCTGACATGCATTACACGTATATTATTGCATTCAATCATTGCACGAAAGATGTTTTGATATATTAATGCATTCAATCATTACACAAAAGATGTATTGTTATATTAATCAGTGCATTCAATCATTACACGAAAGATGTATTGTAATTTTAGTGCATTCATTCATTTCGATGTATATTGTGAGGAAATTCCTGTACTGAAAATGTTTCCTATAACTTGATCCCACTTGCTTCATGTCGAGTTTGTGGACTGAATTTTCATGCAAGTATCTTTGTCAGTGAACATGACTGCACTATTGAAATTATTACTTGTGTTTTCTCATGTCCAGCTGAAGGCATGAACGTGTTGCTGTACGGCAAGTGCAGCCCGGGCACATGTTCAGAGCAGACTGAAGAGACGGCCAACATTTTCCGCCACGTGGTAGAGGAGAAGCACCCGCTGCTCTACGCCGAGACCGTAACCTTCCTGAAGGAAATCGAGAAACTTGGCGGCATTGAGGCTTTTCTTCAGAAGAACGGAATGACAGCCGTATAATTTTTAATAGATTTCATTAAAGATTGTTCTTGATTTAACAGTGGAAATATTTTAGGTTAGGTTAGGTGTGAAGGCGATCAAGAACTGGTAGGTTTTCAGTAAACGTCCATTGAGGATGAAGGGCAGCACTTCTTCGGGATTAATAACTAATGTAATAGTGAAAGTTTTCTCTGAGTTTTACTTTGAACAAAACAATTGTCAGTGAACATTCAAAATTTCCTAGATTAAATGCACGATAAAATAAATTTCTATGGATTTGAGGTTTCGAACTTCTTAAATAGTATTAGCAGCAATTGAATTTTCGATTATAGAAAAATTTTTTTTTTCGAGTATTCTTTATTTGGTGTTGGTTCTAATGCGACTTAGACTTATGTGCGTTTAATTAAATAAACTTGTGCATGTAAGATAACTTGATCCAATATTTAGAGAAATCCTCTTTGTTTTTCTTTTTGTGAAAATTTTCTTGAATTAATAATTAACACCGTAAAGCATATTATTTTTCGAATCCATTTCTTCTCACTGCGCGGCGACGATGCTTTATTTGAGGTTCAACGATATCTCGTATAAACCGATTAGATAAAATTATGTATCGAAGATATGATAAAATTATGGTCAAGCCATATCAATTAATCGTCGGACTCTAAAATTTGATTGCATTCTGTTTAACCTGATAAAAAGGATTAATATGTTTGGAATTTTCTAATACTTTCGCAACTAAGCAAGTTTGATCGTCACTTATTGTATTTATGGAAAGAGGGGAGCGCAGAGACCGCGACGAAACAAGTGGTTGAAGTGACAGACGAGGGAGAAGTAGGAATTTCGTTGTGCAAAAACCAGTTCCCAGTTGAAATTACACTATCATCAAATCCGGATTTGGAGAATTAAGGTTGCTGGAGGTCCTACTGCAACCAAGCTACATGTGTTCCCGGCAGAGAGGGCTGGTTGAGGCAAAGGTATCCATTGCTGGGTTGCAGGAAAGTGAGGATCCATCTCCTCATAAATTGAGCTAATTGGCTGAACTGAAATTATCTAATTAATTGCGCATCGGAAAAAGACTGAAATAGATAAGAATTGCTGTGAATTGCGTGCCAATTGCGGCGCTGTGCAGGGAAGAATTTCAACTTTGAATTTCAATAGTAGCAAAAAAATCGGAGTAAAAATAGGAACCGTCGAAAATATATATAATATAAATATTTTTTTTGAAGAAAGTCATGGTTTTGAGGAGGTACTTTTATTCATTACTCAACAGATAAATTAACATTCCAAGCGATATCTTCCTGTCTGAAAACTAATCAGTGCCTCACGTCAATGACATTACCAGACCTCGTTTAACCCTAAAATTACTGACAAGTGTGGGCATGTCTCTACCATCACTGACCGCCAAGTTAAAGATAATGTATCTATCACAAATATGTAAATGCTGTGAGTTTACTTCTCTCGATAATAATTATCTGTACATTAAATTTTGAACCCCAATCAGTTCAGTTGTGGCGTGAGTAACTCGCCACAACGGTTAATAAAATTTTCCAAATATTCATGCCAGATCAGTGGAGAAGATATCACTGTAAAATAACCTTGTTCTATATTTTGCGTTCGTTACATATAAATACACATACATTTATTGATGCGCATTTACCCTGCTCATTCAGATTGCATAATAAATCACAAATAAAAAAATACACAGTTTACCCACAAACGCTAAGACGAATAAAATTTTCTGTTTCTGATCGCAATGCACAGAAAATTGAGCATGTGTTTAGGTAATGGATGAGATCTCGTAGGAAAAAATAAACGTCGAAATATTGCTGGAGAATTGAATAGATATTCATGGTAGAGGTTCATATGAATAATATATATGTTGGACAAATATTGTTTTCATTGGATGGCATCGTATGTTCTCAATTTCAAAAGCTGTACATTTATTCAATAAATATATTAAATAAAACTATTTGGCTTCTTTGGTTGGCCTTACGAAGTTTGTAGGGTACAGGTGATGGTTGCCATCACTACTGCCAGAGGCAAGATTGTTCTGGACAACTGATTCACCTTGAATGCCGTCGATTGATTCAGAAAATTTGAGTAATGCCTGAGAGCTGACACTGAAAAGAATAATCTATGTTTCATTTTCTAAAAAATTTAAATTAAATAAGAAAATCTTCTTCGATTCAGTAATCGCTCGGCCATTTTGAGGATGCCGATGTACCAAAGTTCTTCATGATTGAATTATAATGTAGTCGAGAATTGTTTTTCAAATAATCAACTCTAAGTACTGAATCATTATTTTAAATAATTGATCGCAATTGCATTCAAGCATAATATTACCGATAAAGCATATCCACCAAATGCATGCATACTGAAAGTCTGAAATCTCTACATGGTTCGCAAAATGTTCCAACTAATATTTCGTTGTCTCAAGTTTAACAACATAATTCATCCATACTTGCGTCTACCGTACAGATAAATTAATGCGCAACTAAGTTTTTTTTGTCCCACTTCTAAGCTGGAGGCATGCGCGCGTCTTCTCAGCCAGGTGCATCGCTCAGCCAGCAGCGGCTTGACGCCGGCACGCTCTGAGCAGCGCAGGTAGAAAGAAGGCCTTCACAACAACGGCTTTAGTAGGACTTTTTGTCGAACATTTGAAAAAAAACATGGATCGGTTACAGGGAATACAGAGCACATGCGTAAAAATTGGATTCAGTGTCGCAATATTTATTCGAGCTGAAATAAACGGGTGCAAAATAAAATGTCACACATTATTATCTTCTAATGCATATGATCCTGAAGATATAAAATGGAATGGAAATTTCTTTAAATAGTAAAGTAACAATGCATTGGCAAATTTCAATGGCTGCCTATCGCAGATGCCGACAGATTAAAGTTTTCGTTTACCTATATCACTGTGGTCCGTGACCACGAAAATGATGCAGAATAAAAAAATAAGTTCCTTGATAACAAAGTTTAGTTTGTACCACATTAAGAAATTCTTCAGAAACACCGTTTTAAATTTGATTTAAAAATTCCGTTACCGAAAAATTTGCAAGTTGCATTATCATGAATGTCATAAAAAATGCATTAATAGAAGAAACAGTGGTAAGTAAAGACGCACGAATTAGATTTATTTCATATGTGCAATAGAAGACATCAAATGTACTGAGTTTTCAGATGGTTTGAATCGATTAATAAGAATGGAAATATCTCAGTCAACGCATGGTAACAGACTTGATATAGATCTGTCCTTGAGGAGGCTCCAGTGTCCATTTGTCTAGCTTAGGCCTAAGGAGCAATCTTCCTTCACCTACCTGAGAAGATCATGCATATCCAATGAAAAAAGAACAAACTAAACAAATATTAAATTCTAATGTATTGAAGAAAAATGAAACCAAAAGAAGTTTTATGTCCTCAATTAAGTTATACTTGTCTTGATAAGGTTGAATTTGCGTACACTTAGGACCATCTATTTTTGAACGGACTGTTTGCGAACGACTGAATGGGACTGATTTATTTGATTTTATTGAAAATAAACTGAATGCCCAAAGCAGCTTATGCGAAATCAAGGTATTTAAATCATATGCGCAATTTTCATTGCTCATAAAAGGTTTTTGCACTAACGATATTTATATTTTTTGACAGAAGAGGGCTCAGTTTCATTTTGGCATATGCTTATAATTTAAGCGTTATCATGATGGGTTACCTGGGTTCATTTAGTGATGGAACCAGAAATCCTGACTTGTTTAATGGTTTAATGCCTATTTACACATTTTTTCTATTTTTTCTTAGACTGCCTGAAGCAATCGCAATCCTTCTATAAATGAAGGTTAGTACTTGGCTTGGGCGCAGATAAGAAGGGTCTCTCAACGCTAAAACATCGCTTCTTAGAAGAATGCTTTGAAAGGGGATGACATTCAACTGTAAAAACATAAATGCAAGACTGTAGTGAGGAAAAGTGAGCACAATCATTTTATACCTTATTGATTCATTTTTCGGTTTACGTTGTGACCAAAGTCAACAGAGACGGGCGGAACAGCATACTACGATGGTGCTCCAGCCGCGTTGCGACTCCAGTAACAACTCAGCTGATCTTCAAGTGGGATCGACTTGCCTCTGCTTGGGCAAAGACGTAAGAAAGAAACGTATAATTCCGCCAAGAACAAAGAAGTTCAACGGCCTCCTTAACGTTTCTCCTCAAACGAAAATATTAAGCAGAATGCCGAACATAAAAATATTTTCAGGATCTTCTCACAAAGATCTGGCACAGAGAATTGTGGACAGACTGGGCATTGATCTTGGCAAAGTGGTCGCCAAGAAGTTTTCCAACTTAGAAACCAGGTGAGACCGTAAGGCGGTGCTGAGTCGAGTCTTTGTTTCAAATATTTTGTAAATAAAATATTCCATAGATTTTAATTGCTTTTGATCAGATAGGAAGTTGTTTATTATTATTATTATTATTTGTCCAGTTTAGATACCTAATTAGATGTACTAACTGATTATGAATGACCAAAAATTACTTGTCAAACCAGTTAATTGACATACAATAATTCACTTTTATTATTAATAGATTTATAAATTGTCCAATCTGGTACATGCAGCAAAATTGTCTTAAAAACTATTCTGCGTACAAATAGGATTAGGATGGAGATTGCCAAAGAAGAATTTCTAAGAATATGGATAGTTGATTTAGTAAAACTCTAAAAGTAAAAGGTGTGATTTTATATAACCCATAGCTTTGAACATTTGTCACTTGTCAGTAAGGAAATGGCATGCTATATAATAGTATTAACTATTAAGTGAGTCTGGACATGTAAATTTTGGACAGGCAGGACAGCCAGGACAGGGAAGATAGATTGCACTTGTCCTAAGTTGTAGATCCATAAAGGTCATAAATATTTGATGTAATTAAGTAAATGAAACTTTAATTTTCATTTTAAAAATTTTAATTGTCACAATTAATAATAAACTGGAAAGATGGTGAAGGTTTTGCTATTGTTATTGTTAATTAGATAATAGATACTTTAATATAGGTAAGTAACTTGCTCACATAGAATATGCCAGTTGTCAACCCTTGAACAGTAAATGGCTAACAATTGCATTAAAATTTCTAATGATGCTAAATTCCTGATTCCTAACAAAAGCTTAATCAAAAAAGCATCTATTTAATTTGGTTGTCAAGTAAATTAAGTAAATTATTCATTCACAAAATTGTATCACATGCTACAAGAATGTTTTATAATTGCCATTCCTTTTTCCAGTGTTGAGATTGGAGAGAGTGTGCGTGGTGAAGATGTATACATTGTACAATCTGGCTGTGGAGAGATCAATGACAATCTCATGGAGATGCTCATTATGATCAATGCCTGCAAGATTGCATCTGCTGCTCGAGTTACTGCAGTCATTCCATGTTTTCCATATGCTCGTCAGGACAAGAAAGACAAGGTAAATATGTTAATAAATAATTGTAAGCACATTGTGTTTAACAAATAGACAGAATTAGGATGATTTTGTTTAAATTTCAAACTAATCTGATGTTCTCAAGTTGAACTTTGCTATTGTTATATTGATTTTGCTTGATGTTTAGTTGTGTTTTGAAGTGAATGTAGTCTGATAAGTTGTTAATATATTTGTAATTGCTTAGATATTTTTGTCCTATGTACTAATGTTGCTTAATCCAATGGCAGTCTTTGGAGTTTAGTTGTAACCTGACCTGCACATTTCATCAAAAAATTTTGGATTTCATAGTAATATTATGGTTTTACCAGTTGTCCTGATTTTGCACTTCTTTTTGTTCACAATTTCTTGATAATTTCATATCATAATTGCATGAAAGCACATCTTTATTTCTGTTAGAGATTTTTTTTACTAATATTTCTAGCTTTTATGTTTTGTGATAAATTTTCATTTTATTTTCATGGTGATATGCTAATCTTAGCTCTAATTTTTTCTTAACTGGTTGTCCACAATGCTTGCTTGTCGTTCTAGGTCGCGGTGAGTGACTGTATCATAGATAGCTAAGGATTTGGTGAGTTTTTGCTGTATCACGTTCAAGAGTGGGGCTCATCACACTATTTGCACCATACTTTCATAGGACCTTCCATGACCACCAAGTCTCAATGTAGTGCACTAATAAGTGATATATACTTTTTTTGAAGCCAGTAAATATTATGATTGTATTATCAATACCCAGTTGTTTGCTCCAGAAATTTGTATTCATCAATAAAATGCACATCCTTAAAATGCATATCAGAGATAGGTAGCATCATTTAATGTGAGATGTCCATTCAAGGTTTCTTCAAAAAGGTAACAATAAATCACCATCTTTTCTTTATAGAGATCAGAATGGGGAAAAGCCTGATGACTCTGTAAATGAACAGCTAGGTATACAAAGTTAACCCAAATTTTATATCTTTGGACTTTGGTGCTATTATATGGAACTAAACTTTTAATATCTTGAGATAGTCCAGCATCTCAACTATTTTTTCTCTCACCCTGAGAACGGGATTAAGTTTAAACTCCCCATCTCTTCAGAAACTATGCCCTGTACACCAGTCACTGTTTCTAATTCTTAATTTCTCTTGCAAAGATTTTACATAAAATTTTAAATGACTTTTCTGTGAGAATCTCGTTAATTTTTAGGCATGTATCACAGCAATGTGGTGAAAAATGTTTAATCCTGATCTAGCTCTTCTATTGCCATGAAAGTTCATGATATAATTCTAAGCCTACTCATGTTTATATTTGTATACCCAAGTTATAAGTTGACTTGCAGGAAGCAATTTGGACAGTTTGGTTGACAGGCTTTATAAATAAATATGTACTTATATTGGTATATATTACTGGCATATATATGAACCATTTTGTGCTGGTGTGTTTTAATGTTTGAGCATTGAAATGTTTTTCTGTGAAGCTAACTTAGTTAGGCTTAGCATTCTTTGCTTCAATTATTCATATCATTTGTCTTTCTGGTCTCTTCTTGATCATGATCAATATTTGTATTGCACAATGTTGATATTTCACTCTCTTCAAATCATTTTAATTCTCACCATGTACACACTTTTTCTTAGACTATATATTGGTTTCTAGAGGTGGCTTACATCTAGCTATCTAGATTATTCTCATCTGGAGTCATACTGAATAACACTAGCATTGATCAAGTTTTCTAATTAGTATGTTGTTTTTGTGAGCAAATGTTTTCTCAAACAAGGGAGTCCCTGGTTTCAGTAATATATTTGATGGGCAAGGAATAACTTAAATTAATTTCGGCTGGGTTTTCCAATCCATCTATATGTCAGCCATTAACTATTTGTGTACGGTGTCAGCTACAAAGTGTGGATGGGTATTGGGGTCCTAAGTAGGGGTTTATTTTCTATGCATCCATCAGTCTCGAGCGCCGATCTCCGCAAAGCTTGTAGCCAACATGCTCTCCGTGGCGGGCGCTGACCACATCATCACCATGGATTTGCATGCTTCACAAATCCAGGGCTTCTTTGACATTCCTGTGGACAACCTCTACGCTGAGCCTGCTGTTCTCAAATGGATCAAGGAGAACATCTCTGACTGGAAAAACAGCATCATTGTCTCGCCTGATGCTGGTGGTGCTAAAAGGTCTCTTTTTTTTCTAATTTATTCTCTGTGGTCTGAATATGAATTTTATAATTGTAAGAAAAGTGCCTGTTGATTTTTTTTCCAATTTTATTTATTAATTGGCAAATCTGTTTTATTTTGCTGAATGAGGAAATTTGAACCCTTACTTATTCTGTGTACCAATTTGTTGCATTATAATAAAGTTTATTCAAATTGATATTGTACATCATGTTTAATGGCCAAAGTCATGTACCGGTATCTGTCTCTCTAGTGCATCATATCATGATTCATTAAACTTCAAATATTAGCCTGTCGTAACATCGCACTTTAATTTGAAAAGAAATCATATTCTAGTCCCACATTTCAATTCCTGAGCCGATTGAGGTTGTTTTGGTTATTCATTTGCTAAATATCTGGTCTGAGATTTCTTTTTTTTTTTCAGAGTGACCTCCATAGCCGACCGCCTGAATGTAGAGTTTGCACTCATCCACAAGGAGCGCAAGAAAGTTAATGAGGTGGCCTCCATGGTGCTGGTGGGCGACGTGAAGGACAAGATTGCCATATTGGTGGACGACATGGCCGACACATGCGGCACCATCTGCCATGCTGCTGACAAGCAAGTTTTTGATACTTTGATAGTTTCTTTGAGCTTGAGGAATTTAGTGAAATAGTACTCTGAAATGCTAAATTTTGGTTTGCTTTTAAAATATATCCAAATATACTTAAGATTATTTGTAGATGTTAGGTGTTCAATATTTCAATTGTGAATATATCATTGAATTTGTACTAATCAGGTGCTGGTTATCTTATTGTTAATTGAAACTTGGTCAGGCTGCTGGCAGCAGGTGCGATGAAGGTGTACGCCATCTTGACGCACGGCATCTTCTCGGGACCCGCCGTGTCCCGTATAAACAACGCCTGCTTCGATGCCGTCGTTGTCACCAACACCATCCCGCAGGTATTGCCCCCTTCACTGTACCCGCCTTTCCCACGCACTTCCCCCTACCCGCCCTCCTCTCACAAAACTTCGTTCCCAGCGACCATTAAGATTCATTTTGCCTCATGTGGTGGCCACGACGATGTTTCATTGTTGTATCTGCAATTTAATGAAATTATTGCAGCTTTCAATGTGTCATTGATTGATAACTTTCTCAAGATATCCTTCCACTGTACCTACCTGACACTGTTTTAATAGAATTCCTGCAACATTATATGAATGAATTGTTTTAGATTCGAACAGTAAAATATGTTTTAAATTTACCTAAAACTTTGTACACTTGCATCATATCCCAGCTTCTAATACTTCAATTCATGTTGTTCAGAATCTGACCAGATATATGAAGCGTGACCAGATCAACTCATAACCTTAGTGCCATATACCTAGTAGTTTTTTCGGACGTAGCAGTCCCAGGCCATGCTAGAGCGTCGCCTCAGTATTCCGCCACCCTCAGCCTCGGCAGCCACTAATTTCTTGTATGTAACAGGACGAACACATGAAAGAGTCCGGCAAGATCCAGCTCATCGACATCTCCAACATCCTGGCCGAGGCCATCAGACGAACACACAATGGAGAGAGCGTCTCCTTCCTATTCAATTCTGTGCCCTTATAGTGTGAGTTGTGCTGCTGCTCTGTGCCCTTATAGTGTGAGTTGTGCTGCTGCTCTGTGCCCTTATAGTGTGAGTTGTGCTGCTGCTCTGTGCCCTTATAGTGTGAGTTGTGCTGCTGCTCTGTGCCCTTATAGTGTGAGTTGTGCTGCTGCTCTGTGCACTTATAGTGTGAGTTGTGCTGCTGCTCTGTGCCCTTATAGTGTGAGTTGTGCTGCTGCCCTGTGTCCTTATAGTGTGAATTGTGCTGCTGCCCCGTGTCCTTATAGTGTGAATTGTGCTGCTGCTCTGTGCACTTATAGTGCAGTTTCTCTCTCTCAAAGCTAGTCTCGCACATGGCAAGCTTCGGAAAAGTGTATTACATTTGACAATTTTTGCAGGTCTGAAGCACGGAGTTTTCTTCAAGCGGCAACGCGAGGCATGCGCCACACTCGAGAAATATTCTGAGCCTTCCCTAAGATCTTATAGTTTGTTTTAAGAATTTTATCGTTCTCAGTAGGGGAAGCTGGACGAAACATTGCCATTAAACGGGAATATTTCTCATTTACCTCTAATAGGTTTCATTTGGTATTACTGAACTTAATCGACTGTCCCTATTTCCGTATTATATTTGGAAACCCATTTGCTCTATGTATGAATAGAATTTCCTTTTATAACATAATGAAAACAGTTGAATGATTCGCTAAAATTGGAAGAGTGAAAGACAATCACTGGCTTGCCTTGTTCAGCAATCGGTAATGACGTGAGATTGAGACTTCATTCTTACGAATCAAGGTTATCGTATCAGACGCAGGACAATTTTTGGGTTGCGTTCAATTATACTGTAACAACATTGATTCTGAAAAGAGCATTCTGTGAGACTTTTCAGTTTTCACGGCATTGAATGACATAAGCTTATATGCATTATTGTTTCATAGATCAGTGCGCTGATGATATAGTATTGGCAGGGTCCTATGACGAGCGATGTAAACTAGTACGCTTTTGAAATGCCGCCGCAATGTTCCGATGATGTTGAGTCCAGATGCTGATACGGACAATAACATGGAGAGGGTGTCACTTCTCCACGGAGTCTGGACTGAATAGAGATGTTAGTGATGGAGCGTTAAATGGTACTGGTGTTGTAGGAGTAAGATTGTATTTGTAATTCCTGTAACGCTGAAAAGGCGCTTATATGTAATGTTCTCTTTTGGAATTTTCAGTGATTGTTGCTGGTGCATAAAGGGATGTTGTTTTTATTGCTTGGTTGTATGTGCTGGCATAGTTTGTATGGTAGAATGCATTATACTTGTTATGCTGTGGACCGCATACAGATCAAATACAATTCACTCGGCATTTTTGGGAATTATTGTGTCTTTTGACGTTCCTCTCAGATAGCGTCAGGCTGTATAATTTAGAAACTCTCTATGATTTTGTACAGCAGGTTGTTAGATTTATTTTGTGTCTCGCACTAAATCTTGCCCAGTATGATAGGAGAACAATCGTACAGCATAATTGGTTATGAAGAGCTGGATAAGATCTGTCCCGGTCTAACTTGATTTAAGGGAGCTGGTTAAGAGATCAGTCCGAAGCAATAATTTACTTGGTCTGATTAGGTGTCACGTACTTTATTTTCATAAGATTTTTGTAAGATCAGACACCAATTCCATTTTACTTCTTATGTAGCTAGGTGAAAGATTTTCCACGTGAGACGCATCAATGTTTATGCGACCTGTCGGTTGTTTGACTTCATTTGTTATACTGTATGTGATGGCCGTCACAATTTTAATATATTTAAAAGTGCTGGGAGCAGTCACTCACGGTGGCTTTGCTGGATCACAGCCATTCCGGCTAAATGTACTTTATTGCAGAAGATAATTCATGATGTTCTAGACGATAAAACATGTCTGTGACCAATTCTTGGCACTTGCCGTGAAAGACGAGAATTGTTTAAAGCCCTGCAAGGCTGAAAGAAGTAAGTTCACGTCATCATGAGAACGTTTTAATGCTGATGGCGGGGCGGCACTGAAGTAAATTAATTCATAAGTCAGTTTATATCATGTGGTTATAGTTGTTATTGAATTGAAAAATCCGTCCTTTGCACTGCTTAATTGTCGATTTGATCACGAGTTTTATCAATTGACCAGAAATACAACCGCCTACTTTTGGGAGACATTTTGTTGTTTAATTCAGCTAATTTAAAAATTCTTGGAAAAAATATTCCTTCAAAAATTGAATTAGTCCTTGATTTCATTCGTTTAAGCGGGATTTTTTTGTTTCTGTACTGGATGAGTTTCGCCGGCCGAAATTGCTGGTATTGGAACGTAGTTAAATTTATGCTAGATACCCCTCAGGGGGGACTTTTGACGTCTGTCTGAGCTCGTCAGAAGTCCTATGGGATTTTGCGCTCCTAGGGGGATTGTTCCTGAGCGACCCACCGCTGAGCTCGCGGTGTCCGACTGCAGGTCTCAGTTGTGGGGTTAAGTTATTATGTAGGTAGGATTCCTTACATTTCCCTTCTCTGTCTCTCTCGTGCGGGCGGCCGACGTCCCGTGTAAGCGACCTCATGTTCGGATGTCTTCGTTTCTGTTGCTTTTCACCTGTCCCTCCTTGTCACTTCGTCTCTTTGAGATGCTAACGCTGCTTCTTTCGCGCCAGCTTCAGCGGGCTGGACATCTGCGGCCTTCCGCCCATTGTGGGTGATGATTAACTTGAGACTTCAAATAATTTAGATCTTCTGCCTCGGTGGCGATGTTATCTTTTGACCTCCGGTGCGAAATAGCTTGATAGCTGAAGCGCCAACAAACCATTCTACTACTACTACTATACACACACTATATTATTATGACCGCTGTGGTGCATTGAACGCCCAATTCCTCAAGAATGATGTTGAAGTTTTATTACGTGCCTGTAAAGCTTGAAATATGAATATATTAGCAAACGTTTGGAAATTAGTGAATATCTAGTAGGTCGGCCACGGTATGATAATTAAATAACGTATATGCTGAAACTGCAACCTGTATAGTGGATACTGATCACAAGTGTATACCGGTGTTAAAACCTTGTAAACAGTATGATAATATTTGTATTGAGGAGTAATGATTTCCGACTGAGGTATTATGATGTGAGTTCTATCATGATTTCCTGTTATTTCAATTTCCGTTTTTGTGAAGACTTCAAGCGGATGCAGGCTGTTCGCTCCTCTCTGTTGATGCTGTGGAATACGCTGACAAATTGCACAGCCGAATTAAGGTGCATTTTCTTGTATCATTTGGCTGTTTAATTGTTCTCATTATCAAAACATCTGCTATGTTGGCTGTGCATTTGGTCAGCTTATCCTGGCGAGGCTGCGGGCAGCGGGGGGACATTGTTGTACTTCATACATACCCGTAATTTCTATAAGTGGGTACTCTCTCTCGTACGTGTGAAGGATTCTGTAAGATTAAGGTCGTGTTCAATTTAGATTTATTACTTGATTTGAAGAAGGAACGATGTCCTGTCGGTGATCCGAGTAGAGTTCTTTGAATATTTACCTGGAAAAACCACTTGGCTTACTTGGGAAAAATGTTTCGAAATGTTAAGAACCACTTGTATGACTCTTCAAAAATTAATGAAAGTTTCAAGTTGAAGTGATTAAGCTGTGCGAGTTGGTGGGATCTGAGGCTGCCCTTGTTAAGACACTATAACTGACGTCTCAATTTCTTCTCCCAAAATTTCCTATTTGTTGACTTGGCCGATAGATTTCTTTGGTGGTCAGATTTCCTTCGAACAAGCATAAATTTTTGCTGTGTATCCTTTAGAAAATTGCTGTTCGCGTCGTAAGCGTGCTTTTACTCTGTTTTCATCAGCGTCTTTACAGTCAATATTTTACTGCAAAAATTTTCTTATGGGCATTGCTTGGTATATTCATGCAGTTGCCCTGCACCACGTCGTCGCTAATTGTTAATAATAAGTTATAAGTCGCCTTATAACTTGAGTTAGCATCTGAGAACCGAGCCTCATTCACCGTATCATTCAACGTGTGCTCGCTGCAATGCACGCGGTGGTCTTCATAAAGCTTTCTTTTGTGACTCGTATTCTCTCACTAGCGAGTTTCTTTCTCCGTTTTTTTTTGGGATTGTGTTAAAAGATTTTCAATAGTTAGCCGTTAGTTGGTTAGTATGAACAGATTTACTTATCACCAGAAATTGTTAGATGCGCACTTCTGCCTTTCCTCGCCACCATTGGCGGATTGATGTAATTTTTCGCTCGTCAGTATTTTTTTACGATAAAATGTAAACTCGCATTTCTTTGTTTTTACATTCCTTTTCTTGGTGAACCTCTTATTTAGGAACTTTGAGCGTGTCTGCCTATACATTATGTGTGGAAATGATGATGGAATGGAAATGATGGATGATGAATGATGAATATCTGAATATTTTATGAATGAATATTTCCAATATGAATATTTACGAACGATGGAAAATGAATATCTGAAAACCATATAGAATAATTGAAGCCCACTTGCCTGAATGAATACTCAACCTTCGCTCAGCGTATTTATTTACGCAATTAATTCAAGTTTCCAAAGCACAGGACTCAAAATTGGTTGTTTTTAAGTGACTTTTTTTGAATATTTAGTTGGAAAAAAGGCAAGACCAAAACCACGTTCCACTGCCCATTGACGACCTCATAAACCTGACAACGAGAGGCCAGTGGACAGAATCTACAGTAATGAATTTCATATTTACTATGCAAAAATTATTTCTTCTAGAGTGGCTGCCGGCATATTGGGAATTTTTTTGTCGGCCACTGTTTAATGGCTGGTAAAACGACAAAATAACTCCGAACAAAATAGTCATAAACCATTGGCCAATTTTCAGGTTTCCATGGACAAAGGAAACCTGAAGGCTGTTGTCCTATGGCCTACAAAATAGCTGTTGATAATCCAATGAATATGAATGACTACAGACTAGGCAAGGATGAGATAGTGCATGGCGAATGAAAAATTTATTTGAAAGGGAATACAATGATAATTAATTTATAATCAATCAATGTTGCAGAACAGGAAGCGTTGGTCCCAATTGTTGTAAGAATCATTGCTAGAGAAATCAATACCATCAATGTTAATCAAATTCACCGTCCCATGTTAAATAGTCGACGTTCCTATTTAATTTAGCTTAATAACTACAATAAAACTGATACATTCATTCGGTAAGCTTGTTAAATCTAAACCTAGTTTACGATTCATTATTGATTCACAGAAAATTATTAATTCTTTTTTACTAAAGCTTAGCAAATTCTGAGCCATGGGGGTGCGACCACCGTCAAATCACCTTAGCGTTGATCTATTGTAATTAGATCAATCTATTGTAATTAGAAGTGGAATACCGGAATTCGACTAGCCTAAGCTAATAAGTTGCGAAATCTAATTTCAAACCATACCAAACTTTTGGAAGTTTAGGCTCAGTTTGCTGCTGGCTTCGGTGAGAGTGTTGACAAATTCCGAAGAAGCGCTGTCGCTCAGAGCCTGCGTGAGCACTTGCAACAGGTCGCCCAAGTCCATTTCCCGCGAGATGTCATCAAGCGAGATTTCCTGGCCTTCGTCATACTCAGCACCAGAAGGGCAGCCAGGCACGATACTTCCGATAATTTTCACGACCAGGCCGTCAACGATGTCATGAAGCTCTCCTCCAGGGTTGATCTCAATGTTGAGCCACTCCATGATATCTTCACCAAACGAGCTCAACATAGTGTTGATGAAGTAGCCCGAGTCCGGTAAGCCCGGGTTCAGGCCCGCGAAGTTCACCTGCGATTGCCGGATTTGTAGTGAGTAAAATACTTTAGAATCTTATTTATTACACAAATAAGGCATGGAACAGTAAATCGACTAGACACGACACAAGTATTACTAGTGAATTTCCCAGCACGCTACTCTCGCACGTGGAGGAAAAACGGTGAACAGAATACGCAAAGTATTATATCAGAACCATGGCTTCAGACGAATTTACCATATTTTGCCGCGTGAATATACTCTAAAATATAATTTGGTGGTGATTGTAGCTTATTAACGAGCTCGTGAAAGTCAAATGGGATGGTCAGGATGAGAACAATGACCAAAAATAGTGTATAATTCAAATCAGTAGAATAGACGATGTACAGAATCATCGAGAACACATTGTTTAGACTCGGGAGTATACTAGGCGTCTAGCGTTTCACGATCAAGGAAATGAGATATTAATCCCATTTCCGTTCGTTTAAGACACTGCCCCTACACCCGAGCGGTAAAGTTGTTAATTGTAAATCAAATTTTAACTTTGTATTATGAGGTACAACGCATCATTATTTCTTTGTATTTTCTAGCAAATAAATCCCGATTAAGTTCTAGATTTTTCAATTGCCTGTATGGAATGGTTGATACGGGTGAAATATTTCACTGTCGTTCTACACTGAGAAATAAAATTTCCAAGGGGGTCGTATTTTTACTCTTTATATTAAAAATTTAGTCATTAAGTTAATTTTCTCTACTCGTTACTCATTAATACTCATTATGAGGCTCCATATATGAAATAACAAAATTTTCATACAAGTTTCATACAACTTCAAACAACATTTGTGCCGTTGCAAATTTGAATAAATTTTTTGAGTTGGGGCAAAAATTTTTGATTGAATTAACAGGCTAATTGATATGAAAATGAGATCACAGGATGAAATTGGCTAAAGAATGTACACAAATTTCCACACCACTTCTGAAGGGATAAACACATAGAGTAAAGGTTGTGTTTTATCACCGTCTTCCGACCTCATCGTTTCAGCCTCAAGCAAGAAAACGATAAGGACCAGCATCGTTATTGGCACGTTTGTCTTAGCAAGGAGTGCAACAAATGAGGATAAGATAACTGTGAAAGCATATGTTATATTCTTAAAAAATAAAATTCCCAATCGTCCTTCAAAATGCAGGTAACAAATTACACACCGGATGAAGATGGGTTTCACGCTAGATAATGACCCGTCTAATGCAGCGAATAACTGAGGGATTTCTAGAATTTACAGCAGGCCATTCGATGAAGTAAACTTTTTGTTCAATTCGATGTACCTACACTGGAAAACTGTGGAGTAAAATTAAATGGAGTGGAGCCAGCGAAATGTTCGGGGTTATGAAGTAGAAATTTTATTAAAAATTACTGAAGGAAGTAAAATCTTGACAATTATGTCTGTATTAGAAACTTTTTCGATAAAGTTTAAAAGTTGAATTCAATAAAAAATTTATTTTCGTTCAATAAATGAAAAAAACTTGTGTAATAAAGTGAGGCACAGCATAAACCTGCTCAAATTAAGAAATGCTATCAATTGCTGACCCTAATTAATATTTGATATATTCTCATGCATACGTATATAAAAGTTGCCAAAGTTCAGTGTAAGGAAAACCACCTTAGAATATTTATCATTCTTTGTGTGATATTCAAAATGAGAAGCTTTATAATATTGTGAGGCTCAGTGTATTTAATTCTTTGACCACTTAAACGTATGAAGATATCTTTGTTATTACTAATGTCTTAGGGGTTACTCACGAAGTATGCATCTCCGGTGAGAGCGTAGGAGGTGGTGTTAGCTATGGGGCAGAAAGGCAAAATGCCGTCGAATTCGAATGAGATGTTTGCGGAGAAACCTTTTATTGTGATGCTGTGGGAAAGAAAATATGAGGTAAACTATGCTCAAATCAGAGAAACTCAAGACTAACATATCATAACATAACACAGTGATGTCGGCGCTGAAGAGTAGGCCTGATGTGGCCTGTCGCCGATTCTTGTCCTTTTCGTGACTTATTCACAGAAGATCTAAAAGCATGTCCTTTGACCGAATCTTTTCAAGACTGACGATAGTTTGAAAAAGCTACTAGACCTACACCAGGTTCGATATGGTGCTAGGCATTTCAAGTTTGAACATATATTTTTCCATAGCTTTATCTACTCTTTTCCTGAACGCGTTTATGCTCGGAGTGTCAAAGATGTAATCAGGGAGGCTGTTTCACATGTCGGTAATTCGAAGCGAGAAGAAATGTTGTCGCGTGGAGAAGTTGCAGCGCAGTTTTTTAGTTTATAGCCGTGGCTCATGGTGTTGGTTCTTGTTTCAAATTCTAGTAATCCGTCTGGGACATTGTACACAAACCATGAGTATACTAGTATACTTTAATGAGGTCACCACGCAGACGTCGATAACAGAGGCTCTGAAGCTTCATAATCTTTAATATTTTTCATAGGACTTGCTCTTCAAGCCTGGAATTATCTGTTGTTGCAATTCTTTGAACACTCTCCACTAAAATTTTGTCATTTTCAAGTCTCGGTGACCACACGGCGTTTCCAAACTCTAGGTTCCGAAGCACGACAGCAACTAAGACTAAGAGGAACTCGAAGCATAACATTTAATGCTGTGGAGTTCAGGCCAATATTATCTAGTGAACTTGGTAATAGGAACAACTGATGAGATAAACAATAATATGTGAATATGAATACCTATAGAGTTTGAGATGAAGGTATGAAATCAACCTATAAATGAAAGAAATGTGACATTCCTACATGTGTTGACAAACTTTCTTGCAGTAAATTTGTACATTGAAAATTAAGGGATCAAATGTTGTTATTTGCTTACTTGGCCGTAGACTCCCCCACGAAGGGAAGTTTTTCGATAGATCCCCCACCAATGTATTGGCCACTGTACAGGGTGATGGAGGGCGTGGAGAAATACAAAGAAGTTCTAGCACCGTCAGGAAAGGGGCGGTTGGGGGTAACAGGTTCAAGGGTAATGCCCGATAGCCCCAAGATGCTGATTCTAGTGAGTACCAGAGAAATGCTGGGAAAATAAAGAAACTGAATTATTGGTGGAAACATAATGTTTATTGAACAACAGATATATATGGACTAGCATGCAGAGCAAAATGCATTGTATTTGAAGAAATGCGGAAAAATAAATTGCAGAATGGCAATGAAGGGAATATTGCTGCTTGATGTGCTAATAGAAAACTCTTCTGGAATTTTTACTAATTATATTCAAAACAAACAACCGAGTTATGTATGTTATTAGATGAAAACAATGCAGAACCAGAATGAAAAGGATATCAATCAATTTTAGTTTGAAGCACATTCATATATATTTATTTTATACGCTTTAGGTGCATGGTATCTGTCATATTGACAGGTCGGTAAACTGAAAAAAAAAAAAATTGTTGCTGAAATTCGAATCTTGCATGGCGATGTTAAAAGTGAGTAAAGAAATACAAAGATACGATGCATTTAGAAAAAAAACGTATGCTTCATACATTTCATATATGATTGTCCATTTTCTTGAAATTCCAGGCTGAATTTCTCATTAAACCGCCTGAATTAGATTTTTTGATAAATATGATTGATTTGCACGTATGGACTAATAATAACGTTCTGGAGATTTAGATAACAAAATATATAACAATGATAAATAATGACGATAACAAAAAGAAAAACTAACGCTAAACGTATCAAATAATGAATAATAATCTCATTAACGCATATCTCGATAACAGGTTCATGTCAGTTTGCTCACGTGTCTGTACCGATGATCAGCGGCAGATACGGCAGCCACGGCTCCTCCACGGAGCCAAGGTCCGGCAGGTTTAAGGGCACCTCCAACTTATTGGCCGCACCTACAACATCAAACTTTGACGTTTAGAAGCATCGTGAACCTCTACATTAATTTATCAATAGAATAATTAACGTATTTCTTAAAATTACGATGGAATAGTGAACAATATATTTTGAAATTAATGGGAATGGAACGTCAAATCGAAATTATTTATGAAGTATTAGAATTCAGTACAGTTGAATAAAATACAAATGGATTAATGCCAATTATATATATAGCGGTTTCAGCGTTTATTAGGCCGTAGGCCTGTCGCCGATTCTTAACATCTCAGTACTTTCACAGCATTTTGCGGTCTCAAACTCGCAACTCACTGCTACAATTCTTCTGTGCTTAACCGCCCGGCCTCCTTGCCGATTCTGACCAGAATTTCCAGAAACTGGCGCACAGAGCTGGGATCGAACCCGCGCCTCTCTGGGCCAATCCTGGTACTCTGAACTTTAACCTCTGGGCCGTAACTTCTGTCTTACCGTAACTTCTTAAAAGAAGAGGAAGAGTCAAAATGAAATATTTATGGTGGAGGGTAAGTTAGATTGTATGAAAGAGATGCTTTTTGAACCATTGATTGCCATCGCAATTGTGAAAAATATAGTTCCTTTGAATTTGAAAAAATACAATTGCCTGGAAAGTTACAAACAACTTTTCTGGTAATGACATTATTTTTGAATTGCCATTTTATTACCGACTTTAATTCAAGTCTTAAGTACATTATAATGACAGTATGAGTACCTCGGTCTATGGTCTCCTTGATAGCTTCTTCATCAACCACGGCCTGAGTGGCGGCACAGCACGACAGGGTCAGCAGTGATGCCAATAGCACGATGAGAAATCTCCTCATCTTAATCTTATGAATTGCGTGCGTTCTAATAAAAAAATTTACAATAGTTGCCTATTGAAATTCTCTGTATTGTTAGTTGTAAGAAATGGAAAAATATTGGATAAGTCTTTAGTGGAAATCTCAATGTGACACAACTGCTAGTTGATGCGCATTCACTAGAAGTATTCGTTTTATCCATGAATATATAGATAGTCTTCAACGGTTGGTTTTATTTTATTCAATTTTTTCTTCATCAACAAATAATATTCACGGTCATTCAAATATGTTTAAATAGTCACTGAGCATATTCGTAAATGCTTTATAGAAATTTCTTTTTCTGTCTTGAATTCCTTTGCGGTGGTAAACGCCTCACGTAACAGCTTAAAGTAGCCAAAAAAGTTGCATTGTTAGTTGAGTAATTGATGATTGAGTAATTATGTATTGATGATTGAAAATGTCTTGGAACTTCTGATGGCTATCGGTTACAATCATTGCATATTTTTGACGCGTGAGTCATTTTTGCTGTTCGCTAATATATTACGCAAGCCGTTGTGTAAAGTTTTTTTTTTAAAGATGGGCATGGGCTGCAGTTATGGACTTGTAATTTTGTAATTTCACGTATTACTGGATTCAGCAATTGAATATGCACTCATTTGGTTTCATGACTGTGAGAACTTTAAAGTTCTCACAGACATGAACGCTACACTTCATATATAAAAAATTTGAAGAAAGTCAATGCAAGTTTTTCAAAGATCAGGCGACCTGTGCGCAGGGCACTCTATTACTGAAGTGTTGTTGTGCATGCAAGGTCTGTTTTAATCAATACGACTGATTAAGCTCCGTATCTACAAGTGTTTATCAGACACCTCATTAGGGGGGATCTTAAATCCTTGTTGCAACGCCTTGGGTTTCATTTTTCTTTGTCCTGTCCGTCAAATGCTAAATTATTGATGAATGCTAAAAAGTTAAATGATTGAAGATATTGAATAGTATTCCTGTAATAAATACGGTGATAAATTTCCACAATTTAATTTAATCTACAAAACGATGTGTTGCTGAACAATGGTTTAAAAATGCATTTTGAAGAAGAATATGTATAATTACCTGAAATTCCAAGTTTCAACGCCTGCATGCATGCACATTGGTTGTTCTAGCCAGGAATATGTAACTTCTTCTCCGTGAGTGAAATAACATTTATTATCAACAACCACCACACGTTTTCTTCACAAAAAAAAAAAACGAGTCTCTTGAGTCTTTTCAAAGTTTTCAGTCATGCGAGAAGAGTCTTTTCTCGCATGTTCTCTTGAATTAATACATGAGGTGTGGCGCTGACAGTTGCTGCTGGTCTTACGTGCGTCATGATATGTCATACTTTAAACGTACGTCGTATGAAATCATCCTGCCATTCTAAATAATGTAGTCAGTCATTCACCAAACATTCTCAATCAACAACCGTAGTGCATCCTATTAACATTACATATATACATCCATTATATGGACGCACTTTAACGCAGCTACCTTCTTGGGCAACTGCAAGCTTTAGCTTTTAAATGTTCATTCAGCTATTGCAAGAGATTAAATTAGAATGTGACTGCTGCTGACGAAGAAGACAAATCCATTAAAAAAAACTCGATTGATATATGAAGTATCCGTCCCAAAAAGTTTCTGTCTTCGAACTACTAATTTGCTTTCAATATTAATATTTCCTTTCTATTTTTTTTCATTATTTCAAATCAGTGCGACTCAAACAAACATTTTTCTGAATAAAATAGATCGTCAATTTAAATTTGAATGTCAATGGCTCGGGAAATTTGGAAACATAAGAAAAAGTGCAAACATGGATCTATAAGGACAAACTGATTAGTCATTGATCGCAAATTATGTGACTAACCTTGAATAATAATCGTCATTGATTTCTTAATTAATTGTGAGCTGGTCTTGGCGTTCCTAGATATTGAGGCAACTATCACTTAAATTATTGTTGTTATCAAGTAGCACTGATAACGCCTCTGATGCGTGGTATTATCTTGAGCATCTGCTATCTTCATGAGATAAGGTATTTTTCTCTTAGGAGCGCTTGCGTATTATTGAGGAAAACCGTATTTTATTATTACATAATTACAAGGCTGGTTGTAGAATAAATTGAACATGTTATTAATGCGATTAAAAATAGGTATAAAATTTCACAATGAATTAATTTTTGAATATAAGTAACGCACAAGTTACTTTAATCATATACAGTTTAAAATTCTATTGCAGAATTCAAATATTTTCACTTGGAAGAGCTGTTGCCACCATGGGAAAATGCACCATCGATTATAAATGAAATTGTAATCTATTCAAGTCTCCATCAATAATATCGTGGTAACATCAATCCCATTGAGGATAATTTTCATCTAAAGATTTTTATAAATAAAATTGTCAGTAAGCTTGAAATTTGAATTTTTTCGATTGAATATTTAAGTATTTAAATGTATGCTTGGGATTTGTATTTAAGAACTCAAAATTACATGTGTAATAAGAAAATAGTCATTAATTGCTGTTTTTTCAAGCCATGCGAGGCCCTCCATATAGTAGCGACTGTTACATTAGCACACCCTTACTTATTACAATTACCCCACGTTAAATGTTGACTTTGAGAAAGCACGAGTCCACAGCAACATGACTGATGACGGCAAATACCTCAAATGACGGCATTCGACTCCTACTATTCGACTCCTAGTATTCGACTCCTAGTGTTTGACTCCTAGCATTCGACTCCTAGTATTCGACTCCTAGCATTCAACTCCTAGCATTCAACTCCTAGTGTTCGACTCCTGGCATTCGACTCCAGGTATTCCACTCCTGGTATTCGACTCCTAGTATTCGACTCCTAGCATTCAACTCCTAGTATTCAACTCCTAGTGTTTGACTCCTAGTATTCGACTCCTAGCATTCGACTCCTAGTATTCGACTCCTAGCATTCAACTCCTAGTGTTCGACTCCTGGCATTCGACTCCAGGTATTCGACTCCTGGTATTCGACTCCTAGTATTCGACTCCTAGCATTCAACTCCTAGTATTCAACTCCTAGTGTTCGACTCCTAGTATTCGACTCCTAGCATTCGACTCCTAGTATTCGACTCCTAGCATTCAACTCCTAGTGTTCGACTCCTGGCATTCGACTCCAGGTATTCGACTCCTGGTATTCGACTCCTAGTATTCGACTCCTAGCATTCAACTCCTAGTATTCAACTCCTAGTGTTCGACTCCTGGCATTCGACTCCTAGTATTCGACTCCTGGTATTCGACTCCTAGTATTCGACTCCTGGTATTCGACTCCTGGTATTCGACTCCTAGTATTCGACTCCTGGTATTCGACTCCTGGTATTCGACTCCTAGCATTCGACTCCAAGTATTCAACTCCTAGTATTAGACTCCTGGTATTCGACTCCTAGCATTCAACTCCTAGCATTTGACTCCTAGTATTAGACTCCTGGTATTCGACTCCTGGTATTCGACTCCTAGCATTCAACTCCTAGTATTCGACTCCTAGCATTCGACTCCTAGTATTCGACTCCTAGTATTCGACTCCTAGTATTAAACTCCTAGTATTCGACTCCTAGCATTCGACTCCTAGTGTTCGACTTCTAGCATTTGACTCCTAGTATTCGACTCCTAGTATTCGACTCCTAGTATTCGACTCCTAGCAATCGACTCCTAGCATTCGAAAGCGAGTGTTCGACTGCCAGGGTTCAAACGTAACCAGCCCTTAACTACCAGGTAGATGCGTTTAACTGAATGCGTTTGACTGGTAATATTTTACCAGCAATGATCCATTGGCAGGCTTTGGATGGTAGTGCTTGACTGGTAATGTTTTAGTGTTAGCATGTTACTATTTGTGATAAACTTATCCGTTTTGATTGTTAATACTCGTCTTGCAGTTGCTTACGTTCAGTTCTTAACAATCGGTGTTTGGCTCATGGTGTTTTGAACTGTTACAGCGTTTTGTTTTGACATGGTAAAGTCAACTGATGAAATTTTCGCATGGATGAAAGTTATTGTACTATCAAAAAGTCCCATAAGCGTGACCGTGACGACACCGTGCGTTAAAATGCAGCATGCAACGTTGCCCTCAGCATTCTGTCCCATGTAAAAGTTACGAAAAATTTGCGATTCAATATTCGAGGGCGAGAAATTTGTTAGAAATCGAATAGCGGGAACGAGGACGCGCATCGTACACGAGCCACAAACCGTGTCGGCTGTTAGCTTGTTTTTCTTGTGGAATTCGTTCAGTGAATCGGAAATATTTTCGAACAAAATATTCCTGCAGAGTAAAACATTTTTCGTTATGCTAACGTCCAGTGGCATTGTGACTGAAGCTCATTTTGAGGAGGGCATTTCTGAAACCGCTTGACTGACTTTCAATTCCTCACTTGACTAGACTGTGAAGTGCTTCACGCCTCCCACAAACTGGCATGGTTCTTATGAAGTATTGCATGACGGCAAACTTCGATGACCGCCAGTAACTGCATTTAATATCGTAATTGCATCGCAATTCATTTTCAATATTGTCGTACTTCCATTACTATTCGCTCCATTACTTCCAATGCTAACTTATTACTTTAACATTTTCATTGCATTGAAGGGCATTATTTGGGCAGCATAATTTAGCGTGACTTGGTTGGAAATGAAATGCAGCGATCTTTCCCAAAACTGAAATGTGTGAAAAATGCATTCAAATGCAAATAAAATTATAATGACATATGAAGAAACTCAATTGAAGTTTAATGAGAAATGTTTGTACCATGTTAACGCAAGGGATTCAAATACATATGACGACGATACCTTATTCTCAGAGGATAAGATGAGAAGTGACGATATCTTTCGAAATATCAAGGGAAGACGAAAACAAACGAGCAAACCTACAAAAAGGCATTCTACAATATAATTTGGATTGAACTTCCATTCTAATAAAAAACAAAAGTTTTATGTGATCATTCGAAACGAATGTCCCTCGAATATGGATTGTTATTCAGAAATATTTGATATAATAACAGTATATTAGATAAAGAATATCCAGCAATTTGGAGGTTGTTGATTAATGTGATTAAAAACGAATTCCAATTCCACCAATTCTTTTGAACATATGAACAGTATGAGTGAGTGTCAAGACTACAAACTTTTGCTGCTGCGAAACGAGAGTGAGAAGCTTAAAGCATAAAGATTTCAGTGCATGTTCTTCCAGAACAACGATATTAGTGAATATGTCCTGTCCGCATAAAGACTTTAGTGAATGAATTTCCACCGTAGAGATTTTAGTGGATGTATTATTCGCATGCATTTGTTTAACTTCTTGATTTTACTAAATATACAGATTCAAATTGTTCTTTCATCACCGAACTTTTTTATTGACGAGTGAGATAAGCTCAGTAAATATGTTCTGTAAATCTGAACGCATGTCACCGAAGATATAACGTTGCAGTCCTGCGTCGTCCGCGGGGCTCTGCAGTTCGGTGTCGTCATCCGTTGATTGGGAGTTTGCCTCTGGTACAGCTGGGGATGAAGAAAAATTACACGAGGTCTATCGATTTAACCTTTTCTATTATATAACATCGGAAAATTACTTATTATATTTTATTGCAATGGAGTAATATAATCATATATTTTTGCTCGAAGAAGTCCGCTGAAGATGGCTCGGTATCTCAAATGTATTGAACTGTTAAATTCCGAGATGACATTAATTTTAGTAACATATCCAAGTTAATTCACTATTATTAAGTCCGGTATTGGCAGTTTTGATGATTGGTCTTTAAAACATAAATTAAAATTTACCTTCACTTGAAACCGCGTCCACTCGTTCACTTTTGCCACGAGCGAAGACGCCGAGTGTCGACTTGACACAATTTGCCAGGCCGATCTTTCCCTTCAGCTCCGATATCGATGAAGAATCAAAGTCCATGAAACCTTCTTCCTCGTATAGTTTCCTTGTATTCTCTGCATTCAACGCATGCGGTTCCTCGATTTCTTTCGAAGCTTCTTCTTCTATGCTGAATTTCAATTCCTGCTCTACGTCTATCATATTTTCAATCAGATCCGTTGAAAATTCCTTTTTAGTAAAATAGAAGTCATGAACATTATCATTAGAATCCACTTGAATTTTTCTCTGGAATTTCGTCTCAGGTTCAAAGACCGGAGCAGCAATTTTACTTCTCAGTTCACCAAGCTTGATTTCATCTTGGATTGACCGCAACGTTTTTGCGAGGTAGCTATGATACATGGGACACTTATTATTGATAATTTTGACGACGATGTTGTCCACTTTAGGATGGAGTTTTGTTTCGTCGTTTAGAGCCATCGTGAGTAGGAATGCTAGATCCTTCGCGTATGCGTTCAGCATGGTATTGATGAGCTGTCCTGAATCTTGCCCGGGGTTTAGGTCATCGAAATTTATCTGTTGTGGTAAAAATTTTAAGATAACCAAAATCTGATAAGGATTAGATATAAAAATTGGAGCATTTGAAGTTGTTCCTTGTTTGAAATGGAGAATTGATACTTCGTTAATTTTCAATTCAAGATAATTTCTCATCTAATTGCAGTAATGTTAGGTTTGAATTTAAATTCATGAACATATAGATTTTTAATAGATTTTGTTCACAATTTCACCCTGACCTAAAATCATAGGCTTACTTATCATCAGCCGTGAGTTATTATCCTCTAAATATCAAGTGAGGACGAATAGAAATCGCTTTATGTGTGATATCCTTTACTATATGAGTAATGAAATAATGACTCCACTGCTGAAATATTGATGTTAATTTTCAGTGAAATATAGGACTTATTTCACTCACATCCATGCTGGCGAGATTAAGCTGGTAAACCGTAGAGTTTTCTAGGGCGCAGAATTTGGTGCCTGGCTTCTGCCAATACCACACTTGCATGGAAGGTTCGATCAACGTGGCACTGCGTGGAGCGAAGAGTCGAAAATAATTATCAAAATAACTTGATCATCACTAATGGAGTTTATTACTGCATGCAAGCTGAAGTTTAAAGGTAAAGCAGAAAATTTGTTATGTTCCATAATTAAATTGTTCTCAATTAGTTGCAGGTTAACGTCCAACTTATGGTCTGCTTAAATTGTTGACTAATCTGTGAAAATATAGTTAATAATTTCACTAATGTGTGAATTATCAGTTCGTACTGTTTTACTTTAAATTCTTCCAAATTTTTTACATTTTTTAGTTCGTAAGCAGATGTAGGTACAAATCAGTAAGTGCATACAACCTCACGTTATAACAGTCAGGCGAATATCTGGTGACATCACCAGAACCATCACCCATTCCGGTACCTATACAGGTAACCATACCGGTACCTAAACCCTACCGGTATCTAAACCGGTAGGGTTAGATAAAAATTTAGATACCCTACCGGTATCTAAACTGGTACCTATACCGGTTCCTATACCGAAGCTCATACCGGTAAACATATCGGTACCCATATAGGCAATCGTGCCAATACCTGTAGGAACCTAGAGTTTGGAAACGCCGTGTGGTCACCGAAACTTGAAAGTAACAAAAATTTAATTGAGAATGTACAAAGGCGTGCAATAAGGATAATTCCAGGCTTGAAGAGCAAGTCCTATGAAGAAAGATTAGAGATAACGAAGCTTCCAAGCCTCTGTTATCGTCGGTGACCTCATTGAAGTATACAAGTATACTAATGGTTTATACAAGGTCATAGAAGGATTACTAGAATTGGAAACAAGAACCAACACCAGGGGCCACAGCAATAAACTAAAAAAACTGCGCTGCAACTCATCCCCGTAATAAAATTTATTCTCGCTTCGAATCACCGACATATGGAACAGCCTCCGTGATTACATCGTTGACGCTCCGAATACAAATGCATTCAGGATCAGACTAGATGCATTTACAGCATATATTGCTAGACAGACTAGAAATATATGTTCCGACTTGCAATGCCTAGCACCATATCGAACTCGATGGAAGCCTAGTAGCTATTTCAAACTATTGTCAGTCTTGAAAATATCCGGTCGAAGGACCTGTTTTCAGATCTCCTGTGAACAAGTCACGAAAAGTACAAGAATCGGTGAAAGACCACATCAGGCCTATTCTTCAGCGCCGACGTCATTATGATTAGAGTGCTGATACCGGCCCACACCATTCACTACTCTCATAATATCGCTTAAATATCCTTAACAACGTCATTTCGAGCTGAACTGATCCTAGTTTAATGTTAGTATCCTAGTCTAATGTTAGTATTGCCCTGACTTGAGCGTGGACTCCCCGACGAAGGGAAGGTCGTTGACGTGACCGCCAGCGACGTAGTCAGCCAGCAACGTGAGCTGAGGGAAGGAGAACGTGAAGCTCTTGTTCTTGTTGCCCAGCACGTCAACGTTCAATGTGAACTTTTCCAGGCCCAAGATTTGCACATTAGTCAGCGCCAACGATACTCTGCAACAGATGGCGGGTGAAAAAGTAAGAGTTGAAGAGGGACTGACAGAGTTCCACTGACAGAGGGACGACGCGCCAGAGTTTCACAGATGGACGATCGAATTAGAATAAATGCTGGCGCGGATAAGATAAAATATTAGTTAAAATGAATGAACGCTAGTTTCGCTAAAATGAATACGATCGATAAAAAACGAAGAAAGTCTGGCAGAAGTAAAATAGAATAGAATAAGAATCTACGAGAGACCGGTAGAGATAGAATTTGATCGAATAAAATTTGGGGATAGTTTTCAAGACGATTACTACTGAAAGTAAACGATTACTCGGCAAGTGGAGGACGCTAAACTTTTTATTAAGGGACGTTTACGAAATATTATCCAGTATAGGGATGTTCATAAGATATTATCTAATTGAGTGACATTCATGGACCCGTATTGCTATCTAGACTAAAATTTCTTATGCTATGTGTTAATTGCAAGTGCACTCATTGGATTTCATTTCAATTACTTAAGACAACAGGAGAGCAATTTAAATGGTAAACTAGCGTAGATAATATTTGAGTTGACACTTACTGGTAGAGAGATATCAAGGGGAGGAAAGGAAGCGTCAGGTTCTTCAAGTTGACTTTGCTGTGACGCAAGAATTGATCCTTGATTGTTTCACCAAGATGTCGCCCCGCCTCTTCTGCCACTTTTGCTGCATCGCAACCAAGCAACTCATGGCTGGCTAATAGAATATTCTTTATTTCACTCAAAATATGATTGAAAAATAACGAGATTGCTTCAATGTACGCATAACAAGAGAATCTTGGCTAAATTATTTCCTATCCGCAATTTATTCTGATGAAATAAATGTGCTTTAAAGAGCAATCTAAATTAAAAAATCTGTCGCTAATTTATGTAGATTAATATCCAACTCACATTTTGGTATATTTTTTCGAAGTTAATTTTTTTTATTCATTTCAGTATCTGAGGGAGACTCAATGATTACGTTTTAAATTCAAAATAATTTTATGTCACCACTGAGACTGAAGTACTAACACTCTATATGTGATATTTCAACCTTACAAGTGAGTACAAATGTTACGCATAGTACGATATAAGTTACTCATATTGTCTTACCTTGTTGATCGTTGTTCATATAGAATTTTTTGTCACTGTTATCTTCCGTTGAAAATGTTTGTCTTATCATCAGCGTGAGGGCTGCCGTCACACACAAGAACGTTTTTATGTTCATGTTCTCTAGACTTTAGAGTGTAGACAGCTTAATTGAATTACTAAATTCTCAGATCTTACTAAAATAATTTATTGAAGACACTTGTTCCTACTTGATATGATTGGAGAATCATTACAATTGTCGATTGATTTGATGTTATTGGAAATAAGGTAAGACGAGCAAATTTGTAGCATTGTTACGCATCATTACTCGAATCCCTAGAAATAAGTTTCTGAAGAGTTTTTTTTTCGTAATTAATCAACAGAAAAATTAATATCATATTTAGTATAATCATTATCATAATCAATCGACAGCAAGTACATTGGATGATAATATTTGCCTATCGCTAGATCAGGATTCAATATTTCAATGGTAGGTATGTAAAGAAGCTTATAGGGTTTGACATGAATTGTTTCTCACAAATACCCGAAGTTAACTTTCTGGATTGTATTTATTTGACCTCTCCACGTTTCTTACGATAATATGAATTAGCAGGTTAAGGAAAAGTTACGCTGTTAATTAGAAGGTTAAATTTCAATCAAATTACAATTAAATAAACAAATTTTGCGAAATATAAACGATTTTCCAAGTTTCTTTTGCAGTTAATGCGATTTATTAGTTCAGAGTTGAGTTACTATACGCAAATTATGAGGTTAAACCTTAGTCGTAAATGCCTCATGCCGGCACACGGCACGGCGTATTTAGATTAAATTATTTTTCAATTTTCTAATCATTCAAGGGAATTAATTAACTTTGAGTCAAGTCAATCTGAATGGATTATGAGGTTATACCTTAATGTCGTAAATGCCTCAAACCGACGCACGGTGACGTCATATTTAAATTATTTTTTTTCCAACCCTCGTAGGCTCGACACGTGGTGAAGTCTAGAGCTCCTGAGCACAAATGCAAAGCACCGCAAGATGACCTGGCCTTGCTACCAATTTTATCTCATTACTAGGCCTAGGAGTGGGCCTACATTTCAAGTGCTTCGATAGCAGCGTAAAAAAGCGTCAATTAGACCAGCTAATATGGCCGCCGTAATTTGAGTCTCAAGCACCACATGCGAACGATCGATCGAGGACATCAATTGGGACGAAGCTTTGAATTGTCATGTAAAATGAGCTGGATCTGCTCTAATTAATTACGTGATTACATTCTTTTCATTGAAGAGCGTTTATTACTTCCGGAAAATGCGGAACTGTTTATCATTTTATTCCTGTTGATTTTTGTTCTGGAATTGCGCAGTTATTTGGCGATTAAAAGATTTTATTCTGAGGCTCGCTTCGTGAATGTGGATGTATTCTTTGTCAATCACGGTCAATTATTTATGAATTAAATTTATTAGTATAAGTTCAAATTCTGCTGTAAATATATATAAGATTATTTGCACAGACTACAAGGTTTTAACTGTTTGTGAATGAAGCAGGTGCAACTATCTTTCGGATAAAAACTCCTCTAATTAATTATCATTTATTATTCGATTTTCTAGGTTCCGATTTCCGCATCGTGAGACAAATCTTTCCAAATTTAGTGAACAGCTCTTTAAGGCTGATCGAGTGTCTCTTTTAAAACTGGCAAGTAAGACCTTTGTGGTGAAACTCGTCGTTCTAATTGAAGGTTTTAATAGCAAACTGAATAATCAAAATCTTAATTCGGTTTCAACGATTGACTTCGACATAATTGCAAATAATATAATTTATAACATAAAATCATACATGAAGAGACTAAAAATTTTTTAAGGGAATAAAAATTCTGAATTTTATATATTCTACTGCAAATTGACCTGAGGCTAAGCTCGGAAAGTTTGCAAATTTCATGCATATTAAGTGTTGCAATTATTCCTTATTTATTTCAAGTAATTACTGTGACAGAATTAAAAACTATATCCAGGCGCTTCTTGGCCCTAATTATAAAAAGTTGTCTTAGTTGTCAAGTTCCATCAACTTTAGATGAATTTCATTGGAGCTGAAAGAATTGGCGCAACGAACTTTGCACCAACAATTACGCAAGTTCAGTGAAAGTTGCTCCTAGTAACTTATCGAAATATTAACTTGACGTTGGCATATGGCAACGCATATGGCAGATGCCATCACGTACATCATATGCCAACGAGACTGATATGGCAGCACGCAGTTCATATGGCATCATGATGAAGCACAACTACATCATATTGAAACACAACTCCATCATAATGAAACACAACAACAACATAAAGAAACACAACAACATAATAATAAATTACAATTGCATCATAATAAAACACAACTCCATCATAATGAAACACAACAACAACATAAAGAAGCACAGCTGCATAATAATGAAACACAACAACAACATAAAGAAACACAACTCCATCATAATGAAACACAACAACAACATAAATAAACACAACTCCATCATAATGAAACACAACAACTTCATAAAAAAACACAACTACATCATAATGAAACAAAACAACATCATAATGAAACACAACAACAACATAAAGAAATACAACAACATAATAATAAATTACAATTGCATCATAATAAAACACAACTCCATCATAATGAAACACAACAACAACATAAAGAAACACAGCTGTATAATAATGCAACACTACAACAACATAAAGAAACACAACTTCATCATAATGAAACACAACAACTTCATAAAGAAACACAACTACATCATAATGAAACAAAACAACATCATAATGAAACAAAACAACATCATAATGAAACACAACAACATCATAATGAAACACAACTACATCCTAATGAAACACAACAACATCATAATGAAACAGAACAGCATCATAATGAAACACAACAGCATCATAATGAAACACAACAACATCATAATGAAACAGAACAGCATCATAATGAAACACAACAGCACCATAATGAAACACAACAACATCACAATGAAACACAACTACATCATAATGAAACGCAACTACATAATAATGAAACACAACTGCTTCACAATGAAACACAACTTCATCATAATGAAACACAACAGCATCATAATGAAACACAACAACATCACAATGAAACACAACTTCATCACAATGAAACACAACATCATCATAATGAAACACAACTGCTTCACAATGAAACACAACATCATAATGAAACAGTACATCATAATAAAAAACAACATCGTAATGAAACATAACAACATCAAAAATTAAATATGAGTAGTGTTGTAAAACTCTGCAGAGTAATATTCGGAATTTTAATCTGATCACTTAAACACTATTTATAATGTTAAGTTATGCATTGGGTTTCAAACATGCCGCATTTTTCACGTTGAACATGTACATTGTACATGTAGCTCTAATAATGTAAGTCGAGTCACATGTGCAGTGCTGGAAATATCGATGCTAAATACCTCTTTTCCTGCATGATGAAGCAGAGCTCGGCTGGTAGGATTTCATCTTAGGATTATTCTTTAATTCACAGTTCGGTATTTAGCTGCCATTGAATGTAATATTTTAATGACCAGTATACAAAGAGACGCTCATTAACTAGGGCTTAATTATGCTGCGATATATCTTCAAATTATATACTTACAACGTGTAATTACAATGGGGGTATAAAAAACGATAAAAAATTGTGCGTAAAATATTTAATTAAAAAATAATTGCACAATATTTGAAATTTATTTATAATTCTCGGAAAATATTGAGATAAATTACGGATGAATAATGAACAACGTTGAAGAATCACTTGACAAAAACTGCTTGCCATTTTTGCATTCGAGCAATTCAACCTCGTGTTTAATTAATGCTCGTCGGTGTATGGACGGTCATGCCGTGTATGCAAGTGAAGCAACTCACTTTGCACGTGACTACAACATATTCGAAAATAAATGCACAATTTCCCCAGGACAGCATGAACATATAGTTCATGTTTTTTATGTGTATTTGATGTTGGCTTAACTTCAAAATACAACACATGTCGTTTGTTGATATGTGGTGCGCACAGTTTACTGTGCACTTATCAAGGGATTATAAGTGCTGATAAAAGCGATAACTTGGTCCGTATCCTCGAGTTATCAGTAGATCATCTTGTTATGAGCCTTAAAAAACTAAGTACTTCCCTTTCTCTTTATTATCATAGGTAAAAATAGTCTCCAGCTTTGGGGAATTGTTGAGCTGGCATAATAATTACTGTTGATAATAACTTTATAATTAAATAATATTGAGCGATTTATCGTATCACAGCCGAATTAAAATAAGGCATTGAAGGATCAGATGGAAAATAATACACCTACACATTTATTATTTAGTTAAAGGAGCATGCGTATTCAGAGTTTTGAATTTTAATCATAATAATTTTAAACGAACTGCATTTAAATTTTGACCTTGATCTCATAGTAAATCTGTCTTTGTAATTGGCTAGCATTCAAGACATATTTTCAACTGATTCATGTTTGATTACTAACTGTTTGCCAATATTCAAATAAAGTTAGGTTCCATTAGCGAGACAGCCTTCCATAATTTATTTCACTGATAAGATATTGAGCAGTTTCATCAGTAAAGACTGTCAAAGTCCTCCCTTAATAAAGGCTGTCAAAGTCTGCCACCAGTAAAGACTGTCCAAGTCCACCATCAGTAAAGACTGTCAAAGTCCATTATCTGTAAAGACTGTCAAAGTCCATCATCAGTATAGACTGTAAAAGTCCACCATCAGTAAAAACTGTAACAGTCCACCACCAGTAAAGACTATCATCAAAGTCCACTATCAGTAAAGACTGTCAAAGTCCACCATCAGTAAAGACTGTCAAAGTCCACCATCAGTGAAGACTTAAAAGTCCACCATCAATAAAGACTGTCAAAGTCCATCATCAGTAAAGACTGTCAAAGTCCACCATCAGTACAGACTGTCAAAGTCCACCATCAGTAAAGACTGTAAAAGTCCACCATCAGTAAAGACTGACAAAATCCTTCTCAGCCATGAAGTCTCTTTTCCGCTCGGGCTGCTAGCTCGACTTTATAGATCGTCGTGCTACTTTTTCCGGTTTTATGTCTTATGCCAGAAGTTGTTTCGAATTAACGCCTTTAATTTAGGTTTTAGGGGAGTTTTTATAGTGCGCGTAATAGCGCTAAAAAAACTTT